TACAAAAACGATATTCACCGTGGCACTGGAGTTGTGGAACCGACACATTGTCCCGCAGCCCTTTATTGACACTTTTGGAGAAGGGCAGATCTTTCAGGATCTTTCAGCTACATCCCTATCATTCACCCCAACAGTTCCCCCCAGGCGCTGCTGCCAACACGCATGAACGCCACGCTCAAAGTTTTCATCGCGTTCTCGCCTCGCCTGAACCGGGCAAGTCCCAGTAATCAACCTTATGAGAATCGTTTTACATCGACTCAATATAGGCTATATCAGGGTATACCCAATCATAAATCCAAAAAATTGGCGATGGTGGATGATAATGAGGGATTATTTGTTGTTGGGCTTAACTCATTACCAACACCACACATATGGGCCACGGTCAATATTTGGTATATAGCTCCAAGTCATCATTTTTTGAAAAGTGTATTATCGTTTTTCAGGTTTTGGTATATAAGCAAATGTTATCATTTTTTGAAGAGTGTATTATCGTTTTCCAAGCCCCAGCTCAATTTCAAAAAACAAAGATGTCTCGAATACAACTCTCCATTAACCTAAATTTTGGCTGTAGCTCATATACAAAAAAGGAGAGACATATCTATACACATAGACCCAGGCCCCAAACATATCTGTCAATCTGACATCGTTTGTCCCGTCACCGAGATGAAATGTAGCACCACCTAGTCTTGGTAGGACTTTGGCACATGCTCCCAACGCATGGTCATGAATACGTATAATGCATGTTTAATCATGTTTACATCCTCATCATCATCATCATCATCATCATCATCATCATCATCATCATCATCATCATCATCCCCCTCCTCCTCCTCCTACTCCTTATGGTTCTTGATGTTAGCATCACTTTTTCCACACTCAGATTGAAATTGGATTCACGTCTGCAGGAAATTCATGTGTTCGTCCAAAAAAAGGTGGATACATTGGATAAATTGCAGTTTTTTATTAAAGGGATGAGCATAATAATAGTAATAATAGTAATAGTAATCATAATAAAAATATGCAAAAAAAAAACTCAATATGTTCATGGTACCACCATAAAATGTTAACAAAATAATGGACAAATGATCAAAAACTCATCTGTATTAGGCAATAACCCAAGTAAGAACTAATCCCGCTAGCCCAAACTGGCAATAAAATGCACAATCATGAAAAATCCAAATTGGGCGGTCATAAAGTGGACAAATAATCCCACTAAAGATAGATAGTTCAAAGATGTTCAAAGCTCATCTGCAAAGCCTAGGGATCCGACCGGGTCAGCTCCACTCCTTTCCCATCTCCCTGCCTGCGCCCTCTGCAGTTCCCGGGCCTTTTCCCCCTTTCGATCCTTTGTTGCCTGAACCGGGGGCCGATAAAAAACCACCGTTCGTGGCGATTTTTCCATTAAGAGAATCTCAGAAGACCAAAGAACACGTCACCGAACTGGTCTGAACATGTCTGAACCAAGAAATTGTCAATGGATCTGTAGCCAAATTATTTATAGTATGTATTAGTATGTCTTCATTGAGCATGTTTTGATTTGGCTTTGACTGAAAGTCATATAAAGTAAGTTCATAGGTTTTGACCCATGTCTTCGGCTCACCTTTTTGGCAGGCATGACTTCAGCACCGGCACATCCATGGCCATACTTGGTCAGTGGCGTTGGGGGTTGTTCTGATTGATAACTGGTGAGGGAGGTATGTCTATGACACTCTATGATATATGTGATCATTCCCAAACCTTTAAGAAATACCAATTCTTTGGATGCTCTCCGGTAATCAAACATGGCCATGAAGAATCACCCTTTGAAACCTCTATGATTTCCCAGCCATGGTCATAATGGCCGCTCCGATTTGCCCAAGCTCGAGCCACAATGAGGCCAAATAAAGTGCCAGTGAGGGCGGAAACAAGTGAAAATGTATACCATCGCAGCATGCCGGGCGTTAAAAATTACCACCCCGAAGAGTGTCTTTTCCTATATCTTTCCTGTCCTATATGCAATAGCCCCCCCCCAAAAAGAAAACACGATGTTCACAACGCTTCAGTCAACAAGTTACAATTCCCGTCGGTTGATTCAGCTCCAGTCAGCTGCTCATCGGTTTGATTGGAGATTTGCTGGAACGCATGAAGTGAAATGCATGTGCACGGGCTCGCCGCATAAAGTGAATCGTTGAAATTTGGTGGGGTATGATAGTCCTATACAACTCTTACAGCCAAACACTCATGTTATGCTGGGATAATTTTGCCTCTTATAGCTCAGCTCCCATTTACAGTATACATACATATATATATAGCATCAATGTTCGCAATGTTCATGATCCCGGGCTCCAAGATTGACATCCATCAGACCATACCAACTCTGAACGGGTTCTTGAGATTCCCCACTTCTATGCGTGAGGTGTAATCTAACATAATGTAATGCACGAGTTCAGCCGTGTGTGCGTGATTGTCTGATTTTCTATATTTCTCTCTGGGCATCTTTAATATGATTTTCAATGACTGGTTGGTGGTTTCAACCCCTCTGAAAAATATTAGTCAGTTGGGATTATTATTCCATATATTGTGGAAAATAAAACATGTTCCAAACCACCAACCAGATGATGTTCAATGATTTGTATGTCAAAACCATGAACCAACGAAATTCACTAAGAGTTGCCCAGGCGGAAGCGTCAACCTGCGGAGTGCCTGGTTTGCTCCGACAGCCCAGTGACATTTCGTTGTGGCACCCCATAGACCTGGGTGTCGTGGCAGTGGAAGTGCGAATGGTCCACCCAATGGGGATAAAATGGGGATATTATGGGGATACTGGTAAGAATAGTGACTGATGATAGTTCAACATTGAGAGTGATTCCAATCATTGGAGATATTACCTGGCTGCACATAACCATTCACTAAGCTTAGAATAGCTGTTATCAAAAGGCCATTTGGGGATATTCCGCAATCTAATCATCATTCCAGTCACGTCACAGTGACGTCATTATAATTCATCCAGAGTCAGATTGGAGAACGTAGTTATAAGTCTCAACATGTATTGTTGCTGACAATTATAAATAATTTATATCATACACATTATGTCAAATGGGGTTTCAGACATACGACTAGATCATACACATAGACTATCACATCTTATCATCATAATATACGTGTACATATATCCAGATATCAATGAACCATGATGATACAGTATCCAAACAATATATGTATATATATATATATAACTGACCCAAGAATAATGAAATCGTACCAACCGTACTGAAAATCTAGCGAGCACTGTGTTTTTCAATAAATAACCACGAGGTGGAAACCAACAATCAATACAGAGAAGGACGTGAAAAACAGGGCTTTATGAGGCAGGCGGTTGAGTTTCAAACCAGGGCGGCGATTTTGCATTCAGACTTTGGAGAGACTAAGTCAATTCCCTCAATGACCAGCCTCAGAAACTTCCTTGCTCTAAAACCTTGTTCACCACGTGGGATTAGAGATGCTATCTGATTTTTAAGTCTAGATTATTCTAGATTAAAGACTCAGCCCGGGTTAAACCGCAAATGTGTGCCCCTCTTTCATGGCATTTGCCACCCCCTTTTCTGAGATTTAAAACCGGGGTATCCCAAAACTTTACCCAACAAATATGGGCCCCATTGGCATCTAGTGACCACAAGTCTCACAGCATCTCAAGGGAATTGCTGAGATCTCCTGGCTGTAAGTTGTTGCTCGGCAACCTCCAGGCAGACCTTCTCTTGATTCTCCTGATCGTCTTCCCCGAGTTTACTTAAAAACCTGGATAAACTGCGTCGCAAAACTCAATGTTCTACCTGGACACTCCAGTTGTACCACAACAATTGGTTGAAGTACTACTGTACCAATTATGGGTGCAACCTATCCATTTGTATGAGTACTTGGAGGGTCTATAATGTCTATAATGGTCTGTATGTGTCTGTATAAGTAGTGATGAATCACAATAAATCAATCCTATTGAGCTCATAGAAATTCAACACCCTTTGAGTTCGATCTGTGGTTCAGATCCCATTTTTTAGGGTCAAAACAGCGCACTGAAAGTCAACCAAACTCAATCCAACACATCAATAATCATCGATACATACTGAGAACGTGTCCTCCTCCTCCTCCTCATCATCATCATCATCATCAATCATACATCTACATCAGAATGTCCAAGCGCCTTGCTTTTTCTCCACTTCATCTGTTTGCTGCACGGAGATCCCAACAGACAACTTCTCCTGTGCAAGTCGAGGCCGCAGCCTGCAGAAGACCTCAGGAACTTGGCTGCCCGGCATGCAACGGCTGTGCCTGGCTTTTACCAAACGCATCCAGATACATCCCAATATTCTATGCATATTGTATTTATGCAACACCGAATAGCAAAATACATAGAATATATGTATATATATAATTACGCATTTATATGTGTATACATAACTGCATAGTATTTATATGTATATATATATGCAAATCCCAATGAAACGAGCTGCACACCCCCAGTCATTACGCGCAGGCTAAATTCGTGGAATCTTCCCAGTACGAGTTCAACAAAATCAGGTCATGCAGATATAATAGTTACCCCAGCTTACCATAACTTACCGGCTTGTGTTGTTCACCCGGCTTGTATGGCCGGCCAACTAGTACGGTTCCCCAAAAAATCCATGTGTTAAACGCCAAGCCTTTGGAGCAAAGCTACCCTCTGGTTATGACTAACACTTCGCCATGGGAAATTAATGGCCCATTTATGGATGGTTTTACGGTACCTGGGATTACCTATTAAAAGTGGTGATTTTCCATGGCTATGTTAAATAACCAGATGCTATGTTCGGGATGTCTATCTTCAAAACTGGTTTGTGGTGGCTAAGCCACAAAGAGTCCCTGAGCTGCTGGTGCTTCATCTGAAGTTTTTGGGCCAAAGAAAGCGCTGTCGAAAATCAGGGCAGTTGCCAGGAAATCCGTTGATTCCATCATATTCCATCCTTGGTATGACAATATTTCCATGGCAGGCCCCTGACAGCAAACGTACCAACAAATCATCCCCTACATGTCGGTTGTGTTTCGAAATTCCGCAAGGCACCCACAGCCATCTTAGGCCATATAACTCCCGCATCCAGCGGTCAGATTTTTCCTTTCAACTGGCTCTGATCACATGACAGCTACTTTTTTCCAACTGGTGTTCCTTGATGAAGCGGTAGCCTCGTGGAATGAGATGTTCCTTCAACCTGCTTTGGTTCCAAGTGAAGGTCATCAAAGTCCTCACCTGTTTCTCTTGCAGCATCTGCTCTGCTCCCATGAGCGTCTCCATCTCTTCCCCGGCAACGCTCACCAATAGCAAGTCCACCAGAGACCCACCAAATTCCGAGTCGAGAGATGTAGCCGCCACCTAGGGCCCCAAACAGGTCTTCAAACGCGCATGGCTCATGGCTGAGGACTCAGGGGTTGGAAAACGAGAGATCACAAGATTCTTGAACAATCAGAAGAAGAAAACCGGGAGACTAGACAAACATGTCAATGTTCGCCAGTTGGGGAGGAAAGCCCTTTAAAACGCCAATTCTCCATGGTCTGGTTTCATCTTCAACTTGCCCCCGTAGCCAAGTCTAATCAATTAGCCTGGCATATGGGGATGGCATCCTGTAGATTGCATGATTCAATAATCTCAACTCCTCAAAATCAGTCATTTTTTTTGGATGTTATTTTAAGGGTCTTGAGTCTTGACTTTGAATGCCTGAAATATCCTGAAATAAAATCACCATGTCCAACCTGTCGCATCTGCCATTCCGTTCCTTCTCTCTTCACCGCCTCGGCTTGCACGCCGTCAACCACCGAGGAATGGGCGCCGCTGAAGGATGGCACCAGCCACCGCAGCGTGGGGCGACCGTCCGACACAGCCAGTGGCCGCACCGCGATGGAGGCGCCGGCGCGGTTCAATCGAAGCCTGGAGGTTCAATGGGAGATCTCCAGGATCCTAACATGGAGGTACTGTACCATATAAGACTATATTTTATGGGGATATTCCCTGAAATCTAGGCCTCAAAAATAGGCCTTATATATGGTAGGTACCTCCAATTTAGGATCCTGAAATGGCCATTGATGAGTCTGAGGAACGAAAACGGGGCAGCTGATGCTGGGTAAAAGCCATTCCTAGCCACGTCATTTTGTCCAGGATTCTGAATAGCAATGTAATATGTTTCCTTAGCCACAAAACATCACAAAACCAAACTTAGCCATGAAAAACTTTTAGCCACGAAATGTCACGAAATGCTTGGTTTGTACGATTTGTACGTGTTCGTTTTATTCTTGTTGCATTTAATATTATATATATATGTGTGTTTCAGGGATTTCCTTGAGCTTGGTATGCTTCCAGCTAAAATGAAGCTATAGAAGCGAGAAACATGGGAACACAAACAACAAGACGGGGATACAACCAATATGCCAATATGTCGCCAAAAAAACAAAAATACATAAGATACTTTAAAATACCAACAATCTTGACCACCAATAAACTATAGCTGCCCCTTTGGTGGCCCTTCAGAAGGCGCAAACATCCTGGGCTTGAGATTTGTGTCCAAAATCTTTGGACATCTTGCAGTGGGCATGGTTGGGCCTTGATGATCTTGATGAAAAAATCTGGTTGGGACATTCTGACCACTGAAAGTCCCACCGAGCATCGATCTTTTGAATACCTCCGCTGCTTCATGAACGGGCTCAAAAGATACGGCTTGAAGGGGCCAAGAAAATTGCCGTGCCAGTGCAAGTACGATCAAGTGCAGTCCCCAAAATGGCTACCTGACTGATGGATGTTGATGGTTTCGGGATCTTTAAAACAACAAAACTATAAATATTCTGTAGGATATGGTAGGATCAACAAGGATCAACTCGGTTTAGCTGGCATTTGTATATATATATATATTATATATAATTTATTTATCTATTTTATTTATTTATTTAATTCATTTTATGATTTATTTATTTAGTTTTATTTATACATGATGCTTCTTCTATAATTAATTTGGTTTCATCGATCTCCATTGACTGCAAAGAAATAAAAGGATCGGAAACCAAAAAAAAACACCATCCAGCCACCCACTTCCACCAGCTTCAGAGGCCGCCTCGGGAGCCCAGCTTTATGTTCAGCCGCCAACTTGGCCAAGATCTCCTTCACTTCTGTCACTAGGAGCTGTGGACCCTTGTTGTGCGTGCAGAAAGGCCGCTGCTCTTCCCGGATGTGATCAGCTGTGAGGTCCCGATGGCCCGGAAGGTGCATCCAATAACGCGTCTGGGGCCCCAAGGTGGGAGCATCTGGAGCTAAGCTGGAGCTTTCCTGGAGGACCAAGTTTCAAGCATCGGTGAAAACCCCTCCCAAGAGCTTTCAACCGTTTCAACTTGTCTGTGTTCTCATCCTCAAAAGGATGAAGGTGTTGAAATCAAGATCAATGCAAAGAATTGGAACTAGAATGGGAACGCAACACTTCTCTATGATATCCAAGCTCAACAAATTAGATTCTTTCTTTCATGTCAGGTTTCGCAACGAGGCCAATAAGCGTTGCAATCTCTGGCTACCAAATAAGGTCTCTGTGTTCCTACGGGAGGAACCATCACACAAACAGGGCCAGCTGGGATTCCCAATTCATCCGCAGCTTGCCACAAACAGCTGGAGTCAGGATACTCCATGAAGCGCTCATCCAGCGATCGAAAATCTGCCAGTTGCTGAATGGAGAAGTTGGAGCTGGGCAACACCACCCCCGTGGCATTTCCCACGCGGAGAATTTCCCTCCACCCAGTCGCCCCAGTTTTTGGGCAGCTTGGTGGCCTCCGTAGCCTCGACCGAGCCAAACGGCTCAGCAGTGCGAAGACGGGCCATCCAGAGGAGGTGACCCTGAGCCACGCGCCAGCGAGGACGGCCGGTAACAGCTGGGCAGCCGCCACTTCCAACACCCTGGGCTCAGGGGTGGTGCCCGAAGGGTGCAACATGCGTTCTTCCGCTTCGATGAGCCCTTGACAAATCAGGGCCAGGGCTAAAGTGAGGTGTGTTGAGGACTGGTGTAGAGATGCCAGGGAACCACTTTCCCGCCAGGCACTGATATTGGCGAATGGCTCGAAGAAACCTCGCTCGAATACCGGGACCATGTACGGCAAGTTCCGGTGCAACAAAACACGCGACATGCGACTGCGAAAGAAGAGCAAAGCATCCAAAGGTAAACAATGGTTTGGGGTCATTGGATCACAAACATAGCCACTCGACTGCAAAGCCTTGCAAACAGTGCTGGAGGCAACCCCCGAGTGCCACAAGGTCAAAGCTGCAAAAGCAACTCCGAAGGATGTCATGGCAAGAACATACAGGAAAATGGTAAGGCAAACGGCTAGAGTTAGAGAAGAGAAGCAAGTGGCATGTGATGCACTGGGCTGGCTGAATTCGAAGAATTCGGCAAACAAAAAAAACGCCAACCATCTTTCTTTGACCCAACCCCCCAGCGGTAAACGGATATGATATAAGCCCATTTACAGTGATGTCGCAATGAGGTAAGGTTACAAGCTATCCAGTGCTTGACTCCCAAAAACTGCGCTCTCCATGCGTAGCGAGTCACCCGAATGTTGCCCTTCAAGCTCAACACCTCCTCAGCCGTGGACGTCATCGCGCTGACCATCACTTGTTTCCAGCCGATCCTAGATGCCCCGCAATAAAATATTTAACATGTTTATTTGCTATTGAAAATTACCATAAATTACCCATCACTCCATCACCAGGTGGTTGTGAAAATTTGTCCCCACTTTTGCTTTGTCGCTTAGAAAGTCATTGAAAGTCCCTTTGAGGCCCTTCATGGTGAACATCTCCCATCATCTCCCATCCAGTTGCTGAAAACCTGGGCCCCCTGGGCCCCCTGGGCCCTTCTGGGCCCCCTGGGCCCCGACATTGTTCAACTTCTGCAGTAGCACACCGCTCTCGGCCAGCAACGCTGTACGGGCCTGACAGCTGGAACATGCTGGAACATGCTGGAACCACCCAAATCCGCCAAATCGATCCAAATCGATGGTATGGGGACCATGGGGACATACACTATCTAACATCATCTAACATCATCTAACTTAGTTCAACCATTCGGGGGGTGTAGGATGGTGTAGGGTTGCAAAGCTGGAAACTGAGATCTGTGGAGTGTGGTGGTTCCGCTTGCGTGGTAGAAGCCGCCCCCGCCCACTCTCCGCGCACTCTTTTAATGCCAGGAAGCATCGCCTTTGCCAAATTGCTACCTGAACAAGGTCTTGCTCCAAGACACTGCGAGCAGCACCCTTGGAATAAGTTATATATGTTAACACTCGAAGTGTACCCACTGGTTGTTTAACATGTAGCTTTGGAAAATAGACGAAAATGGCCGATAGAGATGATTTACGTAGTAGTAAATGGTGATTTTCTATAGCTATTTTAGATATTTTTAGATTAGCACAGGGTATTTGCTTTGTCTCGAGGTTTTCATCTGTTTTAGGCATCGCAGATCCCCATCAAATGGATCAATAGGCCTGCAGCACCTTTTTAGGCCCACTACTTTAGCAATGTTCGATGGTAAACTGGTAAACCATCCATGTTGAGGTTTCAACCCTCTGGGAAACCCAATGAGAATCCTAATGTTCTTACCAGATTCATCACCCTCCGGAAACAAAATCATGTGGCAAACCCTTATTGAATAAACCTACCATTTGGGGATGATAAAAGTAGGAACCATAAAAATTGTGATTTTGGGGATGGTTTATGGCTTTGGGTTTACCACATGACTATATCATCCTCTGGTTTGTGCTTGAGTTTGCCACCTTCCCAATGGCTTCCACTGGCAGAAGCACAGCTCACGGCCCTGCAGCGACCCCATCTGGGCCCAGGCAGCCCAGTTGAGCCGCCAAACATGGCCTTCAAAGCCTAAGACATGGTCGAAGAAATTTGGCTGGTTAGAGCGCACTCAAACAATCAAGAGCTGACCCAAATCCTAAGTTTGAATAGATTTGATATGATTTGATGAGATTTGGAAGTCTCTCATGGTCTTCAGTTTTGCGTACCCCCATTATCCCAGATCTTGCTATTTCATTCTATTTCTCTGACGGAAGGCCAGATCCACTTCCAACTTGATGGGATCTGCCTGTGAGACGCCTTGACTTCGCAGTCACATGCAGCAAAAAAAGGAAAACGAAACCCAGGGGTGGGAGCTGGCTTGCTCAACAAATCCCAATCATTGAGCAAATCTTGCACCTTGATCATCTTGATCAAGCGTCTTCCTTTGATTCCTTTGATCATTTCCAGCACAGGGTGTCTCCCAGGGAATCCTGCTGAAAAATCGATGGCTCCGGTTTGAATCGTTGATGTTTTGAACCATTTAATTTCCTGGTTCTTATTGCTTAAACCAATGCAATGAATATTTCAGGCACGCTCCCACCCCTGGCCGACTAAGCAGCTACTTGCGCACAGCAAGCGATGCAAATGGAGCATTGTGCCGCTCTACTTGGACGAGGATATGAGGTATCCATGGTTGGTACGCCTCCCAACTTGAACATCGATCACTTGAGTCACTTGAATATTCACCTGCGCCACCGCTCAATATTCCCTATCATCATTATTGTTGTTGTTGCTACTACTGCACTACGATTACCACCCAAAAACAAATAATTCGTATTGCTTATTGTTGGGTTCAATGGTTTTCTCTTCCTCCCTCTCCCTCTCTCTCTCTCTCTCTATAGTACCCCAAAGATCAGCAAACATAAGCCACCCAAAAAAAGCATCACAAATTCCTGGCATTTCGACCATCCCCAAAGCTTTGGCATTAGGTTTGCCATACGAAGTAGCAGTTGATATATCCCAGGTCCCAGTTTATAAAGGGCGGCTATATCCACTACTACGGCGCTAGTTATACATAATATAATATATATATACATGATTTTGAGGTAATGATACGAGTATTCTAGTACATGTCAAAATCCTATAAGATTTGTTTAACAAGTGAATTTCATGTCATTGTACGGCCATCCAAAATGGGAAACAGTTAGTACACTAAACTATACTGAACCGTCCATTTAGTTGACCCAGCTACCCTCCATTACACTTAAAGTCATAGTTCTTGAATATCCCACTCATATTCCATCGTATCCCATGAAGAATCCCCATTTTTTCCACCACTTTTGAACTTTTGGAGGGTTTTTCCATGGATAACATGGTAAAAGCATCGTTTCACCCCTGGACACCTGCGACATCCTGTGATGTGCGTCCAGCCCGCAGCAACGTTGCTGAGAGTTGGGATGCCCAGAGACCTGGTGGTGGAGAGTCGCTGCGAAAAAAAGCCGGAAACCCATGGGTTTTAAGCTGTTCCGAAAGGCCATGATAAGGGGTTTTAGAATGTTTTAGATGGATATGGTAGGCCTTGATTTGTTGGGGAGTTTTCGAGGGGGGCACCCTTAGGCCCTCAGATGCCCTCAAATGCCCATGATTTTTACAAAAATGTTTGGCCACTTGGCATGTTGACCTTCCAAAACCCAATCCCTGAGCTCCCGCTGGGTCAATCCGAGAGGCCAGCTGTATTCTGCGAGGCCTGAGGGGTTCCAGGCAGGGCCGGCCTGTTTTGGTCCTTTTGAGGTGTCCCAAGATGTCCCAAGTCAGGGACTGACCCATTTCACCCCAGGGTGCAGCCATTTCACCCAAGCCTTCTTGTGGTGTTCCGAGCTGAAGGCAATGAAAATGATCAATGCAAGAATGACCTGCACGGCCAAAGTCACAAGGCCAAAATCATCCCCAAGGTTCGGTTGGTTGAAACAAACAACATGCAGAAAATCGTTGTGAAAATGAGGATAATCATACACCATGATCGTGATCCATCCATTGAACTGATGTATTACTTATTATCTGATCTAACTATATCTAACTATCTTTCTATCTCTTGATCTCCTTATCATTTATTCATCTATCAATCTCTCTATCTATTTATCGATTCACTTCAACCAATCCATCCATCAATCAATCCATATGAAGATTTCTTAAAATGGGTATCCCAAATCATCCAAGTCATTGGACCATGACTTACCCTCTGGTAAACTAAGATAGCTATGGAAAATCACCATTTTTAATGGGAAAATCAACTATTAATGGCCATTTTCAATAGCTACGTTAAATTACCAGAGGGTACAGTATTGTAGTATTGAACCCATGGTGACGACTGGTCCCCCATTCCCCATGGCACCAACGCCAAGACCAGGGCTGCCCATCGCCAGCGACACGCCGATCGCGACGCGCTGGCACGGAGCAGTTCATCTCGGGCGCGCTTCGTCTGGTCCTTAGGACCGTCATGGGTATGCAGGTTTCACCAAAACATGGGGAATCGATCTGCAAGAATCCGAGGAATTCATGTATGAATTGATCATGGGACTTGATGCAGAATATGATGATTTTAATATGTGTCAATCATCAAGAGTGGGGATTGGAATTGGAATTTAGCATTGGCTTAATCATCGGGGAGAGTTATTGGCACACGCACAAACGGCCGTTAAGTTTTAGCTCAAAACCATCCACCTTGGTCGGGGCAAGTAATAGTTTTGAGCCATGCCCAAAAGCTATCACTGATTAATCCCCATCTCCGGCAGTGTTTCCATGTTTGATATTTCGGTGTCATTAAATCATGGGGACTAAAATGGATTTCTCAGCCGTTGACACCCATTCACCTGACCTGAAGATCCTGAAGCCAGCTTTTTGCCACATATCATTGGAGTGGTTGGGAGATCGGAAGTGGAAACCATACGGTAGGTTCTTCCCATGGTTTTCCCAACATCCAAGGCTTCCCTGCTTTTTTCTCCCTGCTGGATGGCCAAGCTGGGCCCCGCACTCTCGTTGAGGCAATATGACTCCTCGGCTGCTGGGATGCAGAGAACTTCACCAACGTTCGCGTGGTTGGGAAAAATGACATGGAAAATGCCATGGTTATACCATGTTATACCAGAGTTTTGCCTCCGGTAATCAAACATAGCAACTGGAAATCCCCTGTAAGATCTGTAAGTGAAGGTTTTTTCCTGGGATGGGAAAACCTTAACTGTAAATTTAAGGAGCTTGTCAATTGCCACGTTTGATGACCGGAGGGTAGATCACATATCTACGTGTCTTACTGCTTGGTATATCATGATATCATCATGTCACACTGCCTGCCATCGACAAAAAACATCAAACATATCATATGGGAAGTCCACTCAACAGGCTAATCTCCAGTAGGTACTGCTTATTGAACGGTTACGAGCAGTCCCTTATTCTTTGGCGTGGCTGTCAAAGAGGTGGGACTGGAAGCTCCTGAATTCTGCTGCTGCACTCTCGTGCAGGACATGCACATCGTAACTTATCATAACTCAACGGATTCATACAAAACCACCCATTTTACACAATAGATCACAGTATTCACTATAGAACATTCAGGCCATTGATTAGTGGCCCCAAGTCTTGTGGGTGGTCTAAGCATGGTTAAAGCCATGATAATTGGGAGATATTGGGAGATATTTGAGATACCAATTTTCCCCCCAATGATTACGGTCATTTGCCCACTTGAGCCACGAAAAAATACCCCTACCCGGCCCCGTTCTACTGGTTGATGAATCGTCATCCTGGGTTCCTGACATATTCTGCATGCAATTCTTCCCAATCAACGTAAATAAGCCAATCTAAGCCAATCTAAGCCAATCTGAGCCAATCTAAGCCAATCTAAGCCACTATATTCTTTGGCTCACTTACTCATTCTAACATATTCTAACCACAAATCCACCCACGGTGTTTATAGCACATCCCTTAAAGAACCCATCCCTTTCGCAGCCAGCGACCCGATGTCGTTCAAGATCTCCCCCTGGGAATTCACCAAGGACTCCACGTCCACAAAGAGCTGCGGCCAAGGCAGTGCCGTGGCAAACAAAATGCCATGAATGCGCTAGGAATCCTCACTGATTCGCAGGAACGTAGAGCCAGTTGGCGACAATTTGGAAATTCTAGCTATTTCTAGCTCATTATCATATAGGATCTCCCGTCCGAATTAATCATTTCTCTTTTGGCCTTGGGGGTTGTCCTACTTTGAAGCTTTCATTTGTAGCACTTTTCTCCCATGATGTGCGAAGGAATTTCCTCGACAACCGTGGCTCACCATGGCTCAGTCTTAATAACTGCCCTCAACAACAAGTCAAGGATCCAGTTTTTCTCCAATTCATCAAAATCATCAAAATGGTTCAGCCTCCGGTAACCATTTTAGTGGGAAACTCGAATGGAAATCCCCCTGGCGCCATGGCCATGGAGTCATGGAGGTTTCGTGCACGAAATGGTTCCCATCCAACTCAATCACTACCAAGCCATGTCAGCCATGACGCCCGGACCTGGCTGAGATCGCGTGCGGCACGAGCCAGGCTTGCCAGCTCATCACCTGGAGGAGAGTTTGATCTGGAAATGGTGGCTTTTCCACATCTATGTCAGCTTACAGCAAGGAAACACATGTTGAGACATGTTAACACTTGTTATAATGACATGTTAAGAACGATCTCTAACAAAACTATCATTTGGGAAAATGGTCAAGAGATATGTAACATATGTTAAGAATAACAACATTGGTGATTTTGGTATATTATATTTTGATTTTATTGACAAGTAATGTATATACATATATACATATATATAATAGTCATAATATATATATATGCTATATATATATACACATATACACTGTATATACATACACTACCCCAGCTACAACCATGATCTACAGCGACATCGCTCTGTTGGCATCATCCCCCAGCTGCTCCGAGCCACATCGCTCACGGGTGCCTTGCAAGGCATTCGCCGTGGTCAGCGGGGCTGTTCCTGCGGATGGGGGTTCCATGTGTGCAGGGAATATCTTTGGGGTCCCATACGAATAATATATATGTGTGTGTGTGTCATGCACATAAATATATATATATATTTATATATTTATATATTTATATATTTATATATTTATATATATATATATTATATATATATGTTATATGTTATACACATATCATCTCCTCTTCCATTGTTTTGGGTTTCCAAAAGTGTGTTTTTCACGGGGTGATCTGAGAGTCTTATCCAACTGTTTGACAATCTTCAAGAGTGAATCATCCCCGTGAACTCAAGTCTATGTTCAAACATCCTGGCCTAAAATGGGATTGCCCACAAGAATAACACACCTAGCCTCTCAGGATTTACCCCTGGACTGCCTCGAACTCCACAGGCCCTGCAATTCCCAAGTTTCTGGCTTCAAGCTTGCCCACAATCTGTGAGAAAGCTCCAGAGTAGAATACGTATTTAAAACCCCATGTTTAAGCCCAATGTGTCCCCATATGCCAAAAATTGACACCCATTTCTGAACAAATCCATATCTCCCATCGTTGCCAGCACAAAAAAGGGGTCAACGTTGCCAGACCTGACTGCCGCTGCATGGCATCTTGGATGGTGGAAGCTGCTGATCGGCCTAGCGTTTCCAGCAAATCGCTGCTAGGAAAGAGGTGGTTACCCTCTGGTAAACAGCCACATAACTATGGAAAATCACCATTTTTCATGGGAAAATCCACTATAAATGGCCATTTTCAATAGCTATGTTAAATTACCGGAGGGTAGTTACGCGAATTGTGGAAAAATTAGGTCCACAAAGACTGGAACATCCCAAGAAAAATCCCAAACATTATAATCATTCTATAATTGCTGTCATTTGTCTCCACGTTATTCTCAGAAAACGGCATGTGTGTCTAAATGAAGGCAAACAAAGAAAACTAAGGAAAAACAGATTATAATAGATAATGGGTATATTATAATGAAGAATTCTCCTGTTCAGCCGCTGGTCCCCAAGAAGGGTGAATGAGGAAAAGGAAACACCTTTTATCTGCTCAGTCGGTGAACCAAGGTGAACTGGTCCGTCTTTCTGGTTTGGTCTGGCTTTGTTTGTCCAGTCTGCCCGGCATGGTCTGTTTGATCAGTCAATCAAGCCTCAGTGTTGCGTGGATCTCTTATCACGTTTTGTCTGCTCCAGTCTGCTCATCTCTAGTCTTGTCATGTCTTTTCAAGGCTTTCAGCCTGAAAACCTGAAATTGTGTCGGGTGCTAACCTGGAAAGTGTAAATTCCCTTGTCACATGTTCTTCCCAAGGGAAGGACCGGCCTGAAACAAAAACATCACTCATTCAAAGGGTGACTCCACTAGTCCTCTGCCCTCCTGGTATCTCCTAGTAAACCTCCCCAACTGCTCCTTAAACATTGAAACAAATTCTTTTCTAAAGAAAGCGTTTCTAATAACTTGTTCCACGTTGAGAGAGCATCAACTGTCAAATCAACACCTGCCTGCTGCAACTGCTTCCACGACCTAAGGCCAAAAGAAAAAACGGTTTGCTGCCAGATTGTAAACGTCAAACCAGAATCCTCAAGAGCACAAATGCAAAGCTGCTAAGCCAACAGGAGGGAAAACATGAACGCGGATAGTCCATCTAGTTGGGATTATAATGATATCACAGTTTTGACAAGCTGGTTTGTATCATTCATATATTCTCAAATGAGGTTGGTCTACTTGAGACATCATGTGGTGTATGATCATGTATGTATGGATGGATGGACGAATGGACGGATGAATGGATAGGTAGATCTCATAGATAGACTCAGATAGACGGAAAACGTCATTTATATAATTAAATATATGGAGCCTAAAATGGGGGAACCCCAAATCATCCATTTTTCATAGGCTTTTTTTCCATTAATTATAAACCATCCATTTTGGGGTACCCCTTGTAGGAAACCTCCATATCCGGGACCCGATGCACTGTTGCTGTTGCTGATGAGGGCCCCAAACATCTAAATCTATATGTCTCATATGCAGACCATTACATACATTGTATCTATAGAGCATTATAGAACTATGCTGTACAATATTCATAAAGTTGGTAAAGATTCATATGTTACGCATTATGAAGTCTGGACGCACTTTATGGGCTGTGAGAAGAGCGAACGGGCCAGTAGCGCAGCAAACGAACTGCCCATTGTATTGAGGGGTATTTCGGAGTACTTCCTTATAGCCTCCAAAAAGAAACAATCAGAATGAAACGGAACAAAAACATAATGACCACCCAAAACTAAGCGGTTCATGCACAAACCGGACCCAATTTATCATAGTTCATCCTCAGATTCATCAATAAATCATTCAAAAAACACCCCCAAAAACATTAGAACTACTATCTAAACATTGCTCTCCCAGCACTTTGGACATCTGCCAGCCCATCCCTTCATTTTTTGGGGCCCAACCCCCGACCGCCCACCAGCGCAAAAAAGGGACTGATTCATCTGCCTCAGGGAAGGCCGCACGAAGCTGCCGCGACACCTTCCCTTCCATCTCCTGTCGAAACGCCACCTGCGGCGTTTGTCCCGAAACCCCTGAGGGACGGTCGGGTTGAAGCCATGGCGGTTCTATGGCTGTTGCATGGCCTTTTTTACCATCTGGTTATGACTAACATAGCCATGGAAAATCCCAACCATAAATGGAGGTTTTAATGGGAAAATCATCTATAAATAGGCCATCTATACCATGGCTATGTTAAATAACCAGAGGGTACATGATAAATATGGGGGATCAACCTGGCTGCCTGGGCATTTTCAAAGGCAGAAAACTGAGCGATTTTCATGGCACAGATTTGGGTTTTGAATGAGGTACGTCTGAGCCGCCTTCAAAATCAATTGCTTACGCCTGGTGCAAAAATATAGGCTATCATGAGTCTGTTTGGGGAGCCTATCGCTTTACAGTGTTTTGTTCAAATCAACACTAGATACTACAAACATGCAGCGAAATTGTGTTTCATCAAGATTTCCAAAATCAGCGTCATCGAAGATTTCCAAAATCTGCGTTTTTTTTTTCCAGAATATCTTGCAGTATTTCGTCTTCAAATGATATTAATATGGCAACTGCAAGAAACACGGGCACTACTACAGATTGAATTTTCTTCATCAATTTTGACCGTTGCGTGAAGGCACACAACAATACGTGCTTGGTTTACATCAAGTTTGATGCATTCTCATATGGGGATGGGTCAAAACCCTGGTACCTAGTGAACCCCAAAATAGCTGGTAAATGGATGTTCATCCCACTAAAAATGTATCTATAGGTATTGATCCATACCCATATATGGTTACAAGTTATCGTTTTTAGGAAGGCTATCGCTTTACATTGTTTGGCGCACTTTCTCAGCACAACTGCGCCCCTCCTGAAGTAGTCTACCCTTATTCTGACCGTACATTTGAAGATGGGGATGGGATGGGATGGGTTCTATCAAATTGGACCCTGAAAATCCAAATCAACCCGAGGCAGCTAAAGAATCATAAAAATCCAGAGCATCTATGCAAGTTGTAGTGCCCAAAACCTCCTGTCATCATCTGTCATCCACAACCCTACTGAGTCCTGCTGCTTGCAGGGTTTCCCAATTATTGGATTGGTCCATGCCTAAACCAAACAGCTTAACCCTACCCACCCAGCTGCCTGTGCTTGAAAGTAGCTGTTGAGAGCATTCCTTGGCAAAGGATTCAGCTACAGCATCTTGCTCTGCATATTTTGTTTGCCCTTAAAGATCCCCAGTAGTTAACATCTCCAATGATATCCTGCATATAGTGATATAAAGTTGGATCATAGTAGAGGCATATCATATACCCTCTGGTAATTTCACATAGCTATGGATAATCTCCATGTTTAATAGGTGAATCAACAAACTAAATGGCCATGGCTTCCATCGCTATGTTAAATTACCAGAGGGTAATTGGGGATGTGAACTACTGCCATCTTCAGCTTCAGAGATCCAGATCCAAGCCACTGGAAAAGCACCGAGACTCCTGCCAACGCCTGTCGTCGCAGAGCGGCCTGCCGCTCGGGATATCACGGCTGAGGATCATGATATGCCATCTACCTATAGAATGTTAGTAAAACAAAGGTAAAACCACCCATATGATCCATATGTTGATGGTTTACAACACGCATAAAAATTGTAAATTTGGGATCTATGATCTATCCCCTGGTTATTGAACATAGCTATGGAAAATCACCGTATATGTTTTAACTAAGTTAAATCATAAATCATAATATAATCATATATAATCTATAAATGGGCCTTGTTCCATAGCTTATCTCCAAGAACCAGAGGGTATATATTTGTATATAGCGAGATGCAGCTCCCCTTTGGGGATGATAAAATTTACAACTTTACAACCCTATGGTTTTTTATTGGGTCTAGGCTTCTCCATTCTTGGCTTTACCACATACCATTAAATATCCCATTAAATCCTCTTGTAGGTCGGATATTCGACGTCTATCCTTTAAAATCTTGTGCCGACCGTTCCCATGATCATCTTTGAGGATCTCAAAAACTTCAAGGCCGAAACCCCGCCGTCCTGGGATTGCTTGGCTTCAGGGACTTGCAGGAAACGGCTTGCCGCAATGCACTTGAAACGCCACAAAAAAAAAAAAACGTTTCCCAAAAATGCGGGTACCCTTCAGTAATGCAACATTGTTATGCTAGGACGTCCAGGGGCATTGCCACATGAAACAACCTGTGATTTAACATAGATGTGGAAAACCCGCCACTGTCAATGATGTTCCTACGCATGGATTTGGATTTCCACATCTATTTAATTCACCAGAAGGTGCACCCTGCATTTTTCCCAACATTGGTTGAACGGATTGCATGGGTGTAGACCCTGAAAATCTCACTCCCAGAAGATTGGTCTGAAAATAAGGGCCCCCCAAATCATCATGTTTGTCCCATTGCAAATTGCCATAACCTCAGGTAATTGAACAGTTTGCTCACTGGAAAATAGCACATTTACAGTAGTTCGATGATGTGCCTACTAAGAAAGACGATTTTCCATGGTTAAATCGGTCAAATTACCTAAAGGGTTAATTATTCATGATATATTTTAAGATATGTTCATGATATATTCCAAGAAATTTCATCCATGTTCATGATATAAAATTAAAGAAATGCCATTAAATCCCATTAAACATTGCCATCTGGTTGGTGGTTTTAACCCCTCTGAAAAATATTAGTCAGTTGGGATGATTATCCCCAATATATGGAAAAAAAAAATGTTCCAAACCACCAACCAGCCCTAAGTTGATGGCTCATCCTGGCAGGACTGACTTACCTCGGAGCCACTGGAGGCACTGGGCTCACTGGCCAGGTTCCGAAGCAGCTGACTGGTCCTGCCAATTCTCATGGGATTTTAGGGGAAAACCATGGGAAAAGCTATAGCAACCCCAAAAAAAGTAGAACACAATGTTAAATGCCAGTTATCTACCTTCTTCTGATTTGAAGGGAAAATTTGAAGGTTGACTGATGAACTCTAGCATGCTCTAGCAACCACAAAGAAACGAAGCAGTTAGGGATCACCAGCTGGGATTTAAGGGGAAATCTATAGCTGTCTAACCCTTCTGGAGGTTTAAATCGGGAAAACATCGAACTAAATGGTGGATGTCCAGTTGCCACGTTTGATTACCGGATGGTAGAAAAGATCTTGTCTACTTTTTTGGCGGGTTCGTCGAGGTCCCTCAAAATATCCAAAAATGGTGCCAGAAAAACGTGTTTCCAGGATTTCCAGGTGTCCAACTTTTAAGATTTTCGATTTTGGGCTTGCTCAACAGGAAAACGTTGATTAATTATCAAGCAATTACACTGAAGTTGCGTGGATTTTTTTCCCTCAAGGCTAGTGGGTTTTTTTTCCCGTTCTTTTTTGTGGCTTTTCTCATTTGGTTGGTTTGTCCGGGGCATAGACGATGCTAACTGTGGGATGCTTATTGTCCCTTTACCTTCCTGTGATGATGATCCCAAGTGGCTCAAACACCAACTCCCTCAAAAAAGAAAGAGAGGGGCTGACCTCATTTTTTGGCTCTATGAAACAACCATGTCAAGTGCTGTTTAGCCCCCTCAAATCAGAAACATCCTGTCAATCCCCACTTTATCGGTTGAATCATGTTGAATCCCAATCTGTTTGGACACATTTTGGGACAGCCATGGATATTACTCTCAAACGTGGGCACCCCCAAATCCCAGATGCTTTTGAGCAGCTTCATTTTCCCTCTTGAAAATGAATGGGCTAAAAACATATTTGAGCCTTTGAAACTCGCAAAAAAACTATGTCTGTGTGGAAAATACTTCCCCCCTTTAAAATTGCCATAAATAAAGCACCACAAAAAAAAAAAGTAAAATCCCAATCCTTAAATAGTGCTACATTCCGCATCATTCTGCCATTTTCAATCATTTTTTTGCTACATTCTTTGGAGGGTTCCTATACCCTCCAGCCTGGCGGCAGCTTCTGAGGCGCGCGAGGCTTCTGCCTCAGCCTGAAGCAAGGCCTCAGGTGGCAGATGAAACACCCGCCATTCAAAGGTCCCAAAAAAAGTGTAAATGCCCCGCTACCCTCTGGTAATTTAACATAGCTATTGAACATGGCCATTTATAGTGGATTTTCCCATTAAACATGGTGATTTTCCATAGTTATGTTAGTTTACCAGAGGGTTAAACCCTAGGTTTCCTGGGGTGCTGTTGAATATGAGGGGACATGGATTGATGATACATCTACATGAAAGCTCTGTTTTTGGCATGCCCTCTGGTAATTTAACATAGCTATGGAAAATCACCATTTTTAATGGGTAAATCCACTATAAATGGCAATTTTCAATAGCTATGTTAGTTTACCAGAGGGTATCCCTCATCATTTGCTGATCATTTATGATCATTAAAAATGATCTATTCACCAGTTAGAATCATCCCAGATACCCCCAGTAGGCCCACCTGCTTCTCCGCACTGGCAGTGGTGGCTGTCAGGGCCGCCTTGTGTGTGGCGGCAGCATCTGCCAACGCACCTGGCCAGGGAGTCCTGGGGCATCTCAATGACGTCTAGCACATGAATATATAAAAACATATTGAATACTCAAAAAAGAGAGAAAAGTAGCTTACCCTCTGGTAATTTAACAAAGCTATTGAAAATGGCCATTTATAGTGGATTTTCCCATTAAAAATTGTGATTTTCCAGTTTTTTGTATGTTTACCAGAGGGTACCCAATGAACTGTCCAATGTATTTTTGTAGGATTTCACTTGTCTATCTTTATTTGGGGTCAATGGACAATCCAGCGATGAAACCTGCAAACACTGGAACTTGACCGCTTGGGTACATTAACAAAGCACAACCAAATGATGTGGAAAACCAATGGAAAACCCATGGTTTCCAAACGGACCAGGATCTATACATGGTGGATGTTTTTTTATTCTTTGTTAATTTGCTGGAGTGTAAATTTGCTCGGAACAATGAGAAGAGAAACAGAAAATAAGTACGTACGGTACCCTCTGACGATCAGACATTGGAAGAATATGGAAGAATCATTGAATCCAATCCGGGGAATAGATCCAACTACCCCCAATATTGGACTCAAGAATGAATCTATAGATCCAATATGCCCAGGCCAGGTTTCTACATGTTTCTACATAGAGGGGGGTGAAATCACCTCATGCCATGCCAATATGGTCTCCAATTCTTGGATGCCCAAAACAGATTTCTTTGAATACGGAAGATGATCTTCCAAATCAATAAATACCATTACTATCCATCACTGGTTTCCTAACATCTTCAAGCAAACTCACATCTTCGTACATGGAGGTTTCCATAAATGGAGGTAGCCCAATAGCTGGATGGTTTACAATGGAACATTCCGACATTAAATGGATGACTCGACGCCTTCCAGCTCGCTCAATGGGCCCTTGCGCACGGTCTCCAGCTTGGCCAAGAAGGCGACCAACGGATCTTCCCTTCGAAAGGCGGAGGAGATCCTGGGGGGCCAGCGGTGACCCGGAAAAACTAACCAACTTTCCCTGAGAAATCGGGAGGTGAGCTGCAAACAAATAAGGTTTAACATGTTTTAACATTGTTTTACATGGTTTATAACGAGTTGAGTGGTCGAAAAAAGTGGTCTTGATGCCAAAGAAGATCCAAGAAATTTGGATCTCAGCCAATGCGTTTTGGAAAACAACCAACATGAAACAACACGCATGTCGCCTGATCATCTGCTGCCGCCCGAGTTTTACCATGCAGAAGTAGGTGGTAACCAACCATCCCCCTGGGGGTTGGTAAGGTTTCGGTTGGCCATTTGGTGGTTGCCGACATGTCCGAATCATGCAAATAACTCATCCCAACTGGTTAGCATCACAATGCATGATATAATATAATATAATATATGTCCATCCCATGTCGCAGGATTGCTCCCAACACCCCAAGTGCTCCCAACACCAATGATAATTTGACACAGAAGTATGGCTAAGTGCATGTTACAGTTAAGGCCCTTTGCCAGTTATAAGACTTATAAGTACTAACGAAACCCCATTTATAGGATGTATAACCCCATAGAAATCACCAGATATGACCAATAAATGGCCATAACCCTAGGGAAACGGGATTCTCCCAGCCATCCCCAGCCATCCCCAGCCATCCCCAGCCATCCCCAGCCATGCCACTGCGGAGTCGGCGGCGGCGACGGATCCGGCGACCGCAGCGGCCGGTCGTCGCGGCTCCGCCGCGCCTGGCGCGCCGCAGCGGCGCGCAGCTCGTCCAGGCGGTCGATCATGGCGCGCACAGGGCGGGGCGCTGTGATGTTTCGATGTTTTTTGGTGGTTAAAAGTAGTCTCTGGCAATTTAACATAGCTATTGAAAATGGTGATTTATAGTGGATTTACTCATTGAAAATTGTGATTTTCCATAGTTATGTTAGTTTACCGGAGGGTAATATAACAATGAACAATAATATATTGAATTAATAATAACACACGAATATGAATGATAAAGAGATATAAAGAGTTATATTAAACCCATATAAACCCACCATTTTTAAGTGGGGGTGGTTCATTGTATTGTTTTAACTAAACATGGTATTTTGTTGCCATCTGGCACAGGTCCCAGCGGTTCTCGGATGGGAATTCCCAAAAGAGAAACTGAATCTGGCAGTGATGAGGTGGTTCGTAAAGATGCATCAAATAGGCTTGCATCGGCATCATTGGTGGTATTTTACTGAGTATTTCTGCAACATATTAGTGTAGCACATATGTTGCACTATATATAGATGTGGTTGTGTTTTAGATGGATATAACCTTGAGGTGCTGGGAGCTGTAGAAGTGCTTGAGCTCGGGACAGTTAGTTCATCGCCTCATGAAGTTTTTGTTAACCCAGATTGCTTGAAGGGAACCAATCTTTGCAGCAGAAAAACCTATGGACCTTGTATATAATATATATATATGTGTGTGTGTGTGTATGTGTGTGCGTTTTTTTTATCAGATATACATGATTTATAAAAATTGAGAAAACCCCCATATAATCCCCGTATGGATGATGGGAACATTCTGAAACCGATTCCGATGTTGCAGGCTTTTTATATTGCAGTTCAGGATGGTGGACTCGGAAAATCTCTGGGCACCAATGACTCATGAGATGATAAGAACTTAAGAATGAAAGACTAAGATAGACTTAAAGTCCAACTGATTTGGTGATTGGGAACTGTAATAAATGCATACAAATGCATTTTGGGGAACTTTGATGGATTTTTTGACTCACTGTTTGATGCATACTCCACTGGGTATCGAAAATGTCTGGGAAATCAAACAGCAATAGATACTCCAAATGTTTTGTAAATCATATTCCACGATAAAAACACCAGAGGATGAGGATAACATATAGATATTTAATATTATTATTCACAACATCTGGAGAAAAAAACACTTGCCGACCCATATAATGTATTCAACACTTGGGTTTTATAACATATGAGGATAACATATGGATATTTAACCCATAATTCCATTGAAAAACATTGAAAACCCAAGGGTTCTCCACATGGACTTTGGTCGCATGTGGTCGCCTCTTGATCCGCACGGGCTGCCTCGACAGCAGATCGCAAAGCCTGGCCAGCTGCATCTAACGTCTAGTGTGTATATACAACATAACATAATACCAGTATGTATATACAATTGGATATATATATATAATATAAATACATTATATACATATGTATCTTCAGGTATATACATATTATAGTATATTATATTGACATACGAGACCACTTCAAGTTGCTGGAAAAGTGTGGCAGCACCTCCTCCCGTCGCATCTGATTGCAGCGGAGCTGACGCTCTCGAAGGCTTTGGGCCTGACGTCAACCATGGAACCAATGGAACTCTCAAAAAATGGGTTTGGAACAGGATGGTCCCCTCAAAAAAAAACTTGCACAACTTGGCTTGGAAGATGACTGTTCAAACAAATTGGAATTTGGAAGATGATCTTCTGGAAATAAATCGAGCCAGGAAAATGGGCTTGGAAATGGGCCAGGAAAATGATGTCGTGCCTATTGTTCCCTTTGAACATGTGTTTTTGCTTGATTTTCGGAGGTTGTGATTTTGTGTGTTCCATCTTAGTTTTCACAGGGAGAAGTGGATGCAAAGCTGAAAAATTTTGGGCAAAAAATGCTATCTGGCCATCTTGATGCCATCGTTTTGAGAAAAAAATGGACAATGACTGGCCGACTGGGAATCCATGAGAATCCATGAGTCAATGGATTGGTTTAGGGGAAAATTTACAGGAAAACCCCATATTTCATGGTAAAAACCATGGTTTCCTGTAAATTTTCCCTCAAACCAATCCATTGAATGAGGACTAGACCATTTCTGGGTCCCAAAAACATCCCAAACAGAAAAAATCCCATGATATCCCATGCCTCGACTTCTTGACGGCGACCTGTGGCCAGTCTCGGCAGACCCAACATCAAATGTGAACATATGACAGATGATCATGATATTGTTTGTAGATATGTCTTATATATATACACATTTGTATATTTTTGGGGGGATGATTCCCCCTATTAACAATCATCATTCATGGATCTTCATCAGGTCGATGTGAGACACTCAAGTCGCTGGCCACCTTGCAGTTCTTGAAGCGCCTCCTCTTCTTGCAGAACCTGGGCCGAAACTGGCATGGCTGGGGCTCAAAACTAAGACGCTCTTAGTGCGAAGCTGACACTCTGGCCATGACTTTCATTGAAACCTTGTGAAACAGGTTTTAAAGTTTATATAAGCTTAAACATGTATCTTTCAGCTGCAATCGTCTGCAATCTCTCTCCACCATTTCGTCATATAGATCATAGATATTCATAGATCATTTCCCCAGGACTGCCTCCCATAAAAACAGTCAGCATTTCAATATTGTTGGGGGCAGTCAGAATACGAAGCATCTGGCTAGTCATCTGACTGGTGATCCTCCAGTCGTGGCGGGATTCAGGTCATCGAACTGGTTGAAGTCGTCAGTTTGTTTTACTGCTTGGTGGTTGACCTACCCCTCTGAAAAATATGAGTTCGTCAGTTCGGATGATGACATTTCCAATATATGGAAAAATGAAAAATGCAATAAAAATGTTCCAAACCACCAACCAGTGAAACATCTATAAACACAATCTGAACCATTCGACACCATCCCCAGCATCGCCAGATTTGCCATCCGCCACACCTTCTTTCGCAAGGTCTCAGTCTCCTGCTGCTCCTGGTGAAGATCGCCCCAAAAGCTGGCCACTGATGCAGTTTTTTCTGAGCAATGCAGTCAGAAGGAAGCTGACATAACACATCATAAAACTGGTGATCTTATATGATCTGATTACATCATATTTGCTCAACATCATGATCTTATTCTTTTTTGGATTTCCCATTAATAAACACACACACATACATATAGGCTTCAACGCAGGAAGATACTCCTGGAGCAAGGCATCTTGTGCCACTTGTAGACCTTCCGCTGCACCCTGGTCATGCGAATGGCGCAGATGAGGACTTTTTGGCCCAGAATCTGCTGGCAAAACCTGGGAAAAACCTGGGAAACACACGGAAAAACCTTGGGAACATCTGGGAAAAACCCAGCAAAACACCGCAAAACCCGGGCCAACAAAAATCATGTTGGAAACCGCCTCAAAAGACAACATGAAGCTATGCCGCTAGATCCGCTAGATCCACCAGATCCACCAGATATCTCCAAGTCGCACCTCAGCCGACTCCCTGAGGGATTTGATTCGATCTGGATGCCCTGGCTGTACCAGGGCAAAACCACGTGATCCATGTGGTTAATCACGTCTAAGAAAAAGACTGTGACATATTTATGACATATCTGCATGGTTCTGATAGAATTAGTACTGGTTGGTGGTTGACCTACCCCTCTGAAAAATATGAGTGCGTCAATGAAAGTCAATGGGAAGGATGACATCCCATATATTATGGAACATAAAAAATGTTTGAAACCACCAACCGGAGAAATTCTTTGTCTTACGAACACACCAAAAAAATTTGGCGCTCAAGTCGCAGCTCATCCTTTTCAAAGTCGCTGCAAGTCAAGCCTGGCTCAGGCGCAGTGGGCAGATCGTGGAGGATTTCGACATCAAACCACTTCACAACCTGGAGATCCTGGAGATTCACAACTCCAGAAGCAAAACCCTGTAAATGATGGAGAAACATCTGCATATAAAATATATAATGTGGGAAAACCAATAATAAACCACCCATCAGGGGATGGTTTATACCACCTATAAAAACGGTGATGACTGGGGAATGGTTTATTAAATTATTATTGTTTTACCAAGGTTTTACCCACATGAGATACATATACCCTCTGGTCAATGCACATAACTATGGAAAATCACCATGCTAATGGCTAAATCAACTATAAATGATGATAAATGGCCATTTTCAATAGCAAACTGTTAGTTTACCAGAGGGTATACTAGCCATCTAGGATCATCTAGGCATCAATGGGTCAGCACCATGCCTGGATGGGCGCCAAGGCTTCCAGCACTTCCAGCACGTCATCCGCTTTCGAGGCATCCGCCTGCGTTTCCAACATGGAAACAGGTGAGAAATCCAGGGGGTGGATGAAAATCGATAAACACTGATGAGAATTGCCTGATGAAATATGATTAACATGAATAATATCTGAATAATATGTTGACGAAGTGTCGGTTGATAAATTTCGATGGAATACGCTCACAAAAACGAGAAAGTTGGTTTGATAATCATGTCGATCAAATTTGATGAAAGCTCCATCTTCTCATGAAAAAGATCCATGAAGATCTAGGAAAGCGTTGCGGATCTTCAAAAAGCGCTGGACTGAGCTGTGATTCGTCTGACCTGGCAAAGTCTGATAGGAGTCAATGAAGCATGTCCAAGATGACCCTCAAATGGTACCCTCCAGAATCAAGTACGGTGTTTGGTATTACACCCTCCACTAAACTAACATAGCTATGGAAAATGGCCCGGTTGTAATTGATTTACCTATTAAAGATGGTGATGTTCCAGTTCGCGATGCTGGTGTACTGAAGGGTAAATCAGCCCGCACCGAAGGTGCTGGGGCGTGATCTTCCGGATGGCACTCGTAAAAGGTTACAGGTTTACCTGGGGGGGGGGTCCATTTTTCGGCCAAAACCTCCTGTTTTTGATAGGTCGTGACGCTCGCCTTCAAAAAACACTGTAAAAAACAGTACGGAAGACACCTGTTCGTGAACGCGCCCGTCCAAAATCGGCAAGCGAAAAGTGAAAAAAAACCCGTGTTTTTCAACTTTTTGACCTCAATTTTTTGGTTTGCAACATCTTTTTTTGCGGTTCCGCAGGTGGCCGGGCCCGGAGGCGGATTTTTGAGTTTTTGGACCCGTTTTCGGACTGATTTTCGTCGTTTTGTGATAGCAGAAACACTGGTTTTTACAGTGTTTTTCTGTTTTCTGCATGCTTGACGGCTAGCTTCAAAACTTCCAAAAACCTCGTAAATTACGCTGTTTTATGTTACGGTGTGAATGAAAACATCGTAAATACCAGTGTTTTTTGACGTTGGTTAAAAAAACACTGTAAATTACAGTGTTTTTGGCCACCTGACCCTCAAAAACCATGGTATTTGCAGTGGTTTCTGCTTCTCACCGCGCAAAAACATTGTAAATAACAGCAATTTCGCCGTTTTTTCATGTTTTTCGTTATTTTTTGAACTGCGTTGGTCCGCTATACATGGCTATCAAATTCTTCGCGTTTTTTTTTTTCCGACAATCAGTACTTTCGGATGTTTTTGGTCTCAATGGCCGACATCATTGGCAGTTACGAGCGGCTGCCCAACGATGCGGTGCGGGCGGTTGCCGTTGCGAAGCGACGTGAATATTGATATCGCTATGGATCGCTATATATAAAAATGTATAAATACCATGTTCAATCGCTGTTTTATGGGGATAAACATCCATTGTCAGTGTGGTGCCTTGGATCTGGTGGCTGGATCTGCCAGGAGGTTTCCTGAGCGCAAGGATCCCCCCAAAATGGATGGTTTATGATGGAAAATCCTATGCACATGGGTGATTTCGGGTAATCAGACCATATTTAATAATTATGTGTGTATGATGTGTGTATGTAGGACCTGTATAGTAATTCACCACTATTTTAGTAGGATTTTACAGTTCTATCAAGTTCTATGTTCTATCAAGTTCTATCTTTTTGGGGTTTCTACATATACATAGACATAATCACAGGCAAACACACACACAAACGTATAGATGCATATTATATATATATACATATTTGTAGCATTGGCATCCATTGTCATATTTTGTGGTCCTGGAATATCCTGGATCCTTTCAATGGGTCCGGCATAGTGTTTGCAAATAACACAAAGAGCATAGTTCTGTAACAAAATTACCCTCTGGTGATCAAACTTGGCCATGAAAAATCATCCTTTCATACTTGATTTTCCCATTGAAACCTCCATTCATAGGGGATGTTCCATATTTTCCACATTTTTTATAATTTGTTTAGCCAGCCGTGTTTGATTACCGGATGGTCACTCAATATTTGTTCGAAGAATTTCGCCCCAACCAAGGCTCGCCCTCGCCGCGTCTGCACCACGCAATACTTGAGCTGTTCATACCTGTGCACCAAATGGGGAACATTGCATCCACACTAATTTGGGGATAACATACCAGGCATACTTTGGATAATCCCAGGTATACATCCAACTTTGTATAGATATATATATATATGTATTTAATTATATATATATATATAGTTATGTGTGTGTATGTATGTATGCATGTATGTATGTATGTATGGATGGATGGATGGATGGATGCATACATGCATGTATGTATGCATGTATGTATGCATGTATGTATGCATGTATGTATGTATGGATGTATGGATGCATGTATGGATGCATGTATGGATGCATGTATGCATGGATGTATGGATGTATGGATGTATGGATGGATGGATGGATGGATGGATGCATGAAATGCATGTAATGATGTAATGTATGTAATGTATGTAATGTATGTAGTGTATGTAATGTATGTAATGTATGGTATGGTATGGCATGGTATGGCATGGTATGGTATGGTATGGTATGTATGTATGTATTTATGCATGCATGCATGTATGTATGCAAATATGTATGTGTATATATATATATTGTATATGTTGGTTTATACGTATGTATATGTGCGTATGTATGAGTGCATGTAAAATGCAACTGTGAATATGATCCCATCCTGGATCAGAACCTGCACTCCCGGGCCATCTCTCCCTCTCTTGCACTCTCCCGCCATCTGTCAACATTGTCAAGACATTCTCCAACGTATAAGTTTGTCTTCAAAGAATCTGCATAGATGAAAATAGTGTACCCACAAGATTTGATGTCTTATCATTTGTATCATTGTCTCTAATAATATAATTACATCTAATTTGTCTGATTATTATTTCCATCATTTTCCCTAATTATATGATTACCATCTGGTTATTACTAACATAGCCATGGAAAATCCCAACCATAAATGGAGGTTTTGATGGGAAATCATCTATAAATGGGCCATCTATACCATGGCTATGTTAAATAACCAGAGGGTATCAATGAAAGATTGCCATTGGACGATATTGGAGCTACGCCCGGCGACGGATTGACCGCTCCCTCCGGCTAAAAAAAAAAGTGGCTAACTGGAAAATCCCCCATCTCAATGGAGGTTTTTGAATATGTTTCAAGTTTAAAGATAATTCATTAAATGAATGGGAAATCAATTATGAAAATGGGATTCAATGAATAGGTTCTTAAGTTCAACTGGGAAATCAATTATGAAAATCCGACTTTTAATAGGATTTAAGGGGGAAACACATCTATAAATGGAAGATGTCCAGCCAATGTTTGATTGAGGGTAAGCCATGGCGCAACTTGCTGATCGACAGGGCTTCCACCTCTCTGTCCAGGGAGCTGTTCCTCGAATGTGGCTTGGTGATGCTTGGAAAACTCAATCTTTTGGCAATATGGGCCCCTGGGCTGGGAAAAATCTGAAAGGAATGTGGCTTGGCAAAAGGCGGGATGTAAGTTGGTTAAATGAGATTTCATGGAGAGATTGATGGGTTTTCTGCATGGGAATATCATCGTTTTCAGCACCAAAGCTAGGGGGTTCCTGCAGAGTTTTCCTCAACCAATCCAAACAACTTCGATCAACTTGGACTGTTCATGACTCATGAGACTTGGCTATCGGTCAAAACTCTAGAACATGCTGGTGTTCACATAAAAAATAATGATACGTTAGAACAGTGGTTCGGAAGTCCCCGATTCCTTCCCTTCCCCTCTGATAATTTAACTATTAAGCATATATTATATGGAACATTACTATGATTTAAGAGGTAAATCATCCAAAACAGCATCACATGTCATGGGCCACATCTTCCATAGCAAACTCCTAAAGCACCTGTTAAAACCAGAGGCTTCTCCGATAGAAACCCAGTGTCCAGAGATAGAAAGGCAGCAGGAACTGGTCCCGTTGGATGCTGCGGCAGTGCTCAACCTGAACACCGGTTAGTAATTCCAATGGTTCCACTGGAAGCCTTTTTTTTACGTGCTTGATAGAAAATATTCAGGTTGAAAAAATGATATCCTTGATTTTGTTGAAACATGATGTTTATGATGTTTGATATAAATTTTAAGGGGTATACCGTGATATACCGAATGTGCTCTAATACGAGATGGATCATCCTAATCCTAATGCCTATCTTTCCGGTAACGCCAAGGGTTGGTGCCCAGCAGCACTTGCTTGAAGGCCGAAGTGATTTGAGCCGACTTGTCATGCGCCACATTGCGGAACATGATGCCCAGTTCCTCAGAGAAGTCAGGCGCCATGATTGTCCCAGGGGTAACCCACATTGGCAGGTAAACTACTATCACCCCAGATTATACCATCATCATATTTGGCATAAGGTGACTATCACCATACCAGATTATACCATCATCATATTGAAACCACGTATTTACTAAATGATTGTGGCATCACCTAAGGTGACCCTGCATTGACAGTCCCTGTCGCATGCTGTCACGGCTCATAATAGTCCGCGGGCTCAAAGGGATGCAGCGGGTCGTTGTGATACTTGGTCAGTTCCTGAGCTCAGCTACCATCAAGTCACGTACAAGAAGGGGCTCTTAGAGCGTCAGACCTCTGAGAATCGATACTTAAATTATATACAAGTATCTATCTATCTATCTATCTGTCTGTCTGTCTGTCTGTCTGTATGTATGTATGTATGTACGTATGTATGTATGTATGTAGGTATGTATGTATGTGTGTGTGTGTTATTATATATGTCACTTATCATTCCATAAAATGGGCGTGTAAGCCCCGCTCAAGAATTGGCCACCTGTGGAAAGCTTCCCTTTTGACTTTTTTACTCAGCATCCCCCCAATTTTCGGGTAGTAACTTGGAGATACTTGGAGGGCTAACCTGTTCCTTTCTTTTCCCAATCTCCCAATTGGTCTTTTCATGTCTTTTCCTATGTTTCTCAAGGACGTCCCAGTGACATCGCGCCACTTGATGACATTCTCGTAGGAGGTGGAGACGTACTCCTTCCTCTTGGTGAGCATATCCTCACATTCCTGCAGAAAGCAGTCCCAGGGCGCACAGTTGCGCCAGTACCTTGAGCGAATTCCGGCGTCTTAGGGCTGAAGCAGCCCTGGAAATTCTGGGGTGCGAGGAGGTTCAAAGCAATTCACCGCAGTTAGGTGCAGGAGTGGGGACAGGAATGTCTCAAAACCATTGGGATGATTGTGTGCGGATACACATGGGGTTGGAGGTGCTTTGGGCCAAGGAACCATTTCAGCAAAAGCAACGGCTTGTCCTGATGCCTTAGGTCGCGAGCCAAAAGTCTTCAATCATCTTCAACCGTTGATAGCTTGTCGCTGACCCATGCTCATGGAAATTTTGCTATGAATCCTGAGACTGATACTTTGACTCTTCTCAGCCGAGTGAGGCGAATCATCGAACTAAAATGGGCCATGGCTTCCACAGCTATGTGCGGCAATTCTAGTGGGATCATCAGGTTCAATCCTCAAAAAAGTAAGTGTCCCTTCTCTGGGAAACTCAGCGGCTATAGATCGGAATCTTTTTCGGATTCATCTCCGAAATTTCGGAGATGTGTTCACCATAGTTTTTTGCTCCCGGCATTGCCGTCCTCCCAACTATCCTCCCAACGTTCAGTGGGCTGCTCGTCCAGCATGGGCCGCAAGCCCGCCATGTCGATGGAGATGTCGCCATCGAATTCCACCAGCCAGTCCTTTTTTCGATCGTCCAAGAGGACAGCAGCGAAGGGACGAATCGGTGTTGATCTTTGTTGATATCAAAACCGGTTGACATTGAACATTATATATATATATTAATATATATATATATCATATTTAAGCATCTTTTAGAAGACTTAAACTATCACACTATGAATTTCAATGCATTTGATGCGACCATATCGATCAATGCCATCTAAAATGTCATCTCTGGTTCATGCAAGGGGGAAGAAACAAGACCTTTGGACGTTTGACAATTGGTTCGAAGTCTTCAGCTTCTCGAACAAGTAACAAGTTTCACAGCAAACCAGGTTCGCCGTATTCTCACTGGTACTATCGTTGATGTTGTATATGAGAGTTGATGCTGAAAAAAGTCTCTGTTGTCCGTATAGCAAACCATAATGCATGCCTTCTCGTACTGCGTTCCAAGTGCGTATCCGTGCGCCAAATATCAGTATATCAGTTACGCTCAATATTCAAAATTCCTTTCGGTGCAAATTCCTATATTCGTCTATCATCATCTACACTCATCTATGGTCATCTATTATAAGCAATAGTCATCTATCATCATCTATCATCATCCACCATCATTTCTAACCTATAATCATCTCTATTCATCTATACGTCATCATCATTCATAATGTCATCTCCAAACATCCGCCACAGTTCGGGCGGGATTTTTCGGAACCAAGCATCCCAGGTGCCATTGAGCATCCAGGAGGGTGGTGTAAATTTCAGGGACTTGGCAGCCAACCGCGCCTAGGCTCACGTCGGACGAGGTCCCAAAAAGGTGAGGAAAACCCATGAAGAATTGGAAAAAAAAAATCCATGAATTTCAGAACCCATCTGAAAGTTGATCCATAAACCATTGAGTTGACCAACCTTTTTTCGACTGTAACCCCAAGATTCGAACCTCAATGACTGTGTCTGCTAAAAAACGGCTGGGTGAAGACTGATCGACCAAAAAGACGTAAGAGTATGACCACCCATCATTGTTGTTATTTGTTTATTAATGTGTGGTCACCAATAATTAGTTGATAGCTTTCCCATGTATGTCAATGTACATCCATATGGTTTATAACTGTAGCCCATCCAAGCCCCCCAACAAAAAATCCCACATCCCCCCTGGTAGCCGTGACACCAGGGGCACTTCCGCTGTCCCTTGGATCAGGGGCAGCATGGTCATCACCCACCTGTCTCATCCGCATGGACGTTGGGAAGGTGGCAAGTACCTATAGAGAAAAGATCAATTCCAAGAATGATGGCCTAAGAAATGCACATCCTGATTTTTGTGTTGATATTCACCTTGGTTTGATTCATTGATATGGGATACTCTCTCTCGCTCTATGTATATATATATATTCATTTATCTATTTATTTATTCATTTATTTATTTATTATTTTATTTATTTGTTATTGTTATTTGTTGTTATTTGTTGTTATTTGTTGTTATTTATTGTTATTTATTGTTATTTATTGTTATTTATTGTTATTTATTGTTATTTATTGTTATTTATTGTTATTCATTGTTATTCATCGTTATTTATTGTTATTTAGTGTTATTTAGTGTTATTTAGTGTTATTTATTTTTGCAGTATTTATTTTTATTCATTGTTATTCATTGTTATTTATTGTTATTTATTGTTAATTATTTATTGTTATTTATTGTTATTTATTGTTATTTATTGTTATTTATTGTTATTTATTGTTATTTTATTGTTATTTATTGTTGGTTATTCATTATCTTTATCTATTGTTTATCTATATATATATTTATAACTGATACAGATTGGATGGGATAGCGGAGATGCATTCATACATAGCATGGGAGAGCCACACAATCTCTCTGGTTTCTTTGGCGTCTTCTTTCGAGCTTCTGCAAATGGCAAACATGATGTCTTAAGTCATCTTAAGTTCTTTTTTTAGTGCCACATTTCTTCGCATTGTCTCGTGAATTGGGCAACCAAAACTTCTCACCCACTCAGTGTAGCCAACGTCAGGAAGTCGTTGGGTTCTGCTAGCAGAAAGTCGTCATGGGCAAGGGCTTTAAGAAACAAATCAGACCCAGCTGTACGGTCGTTAAATGTCCCATACGACCATCACCAGGTAAGGAATCACTACTACCAAGCATCTCAGGGTGATGTTTGAAACTGGTCCCCCAGTTTGGGACATTTACTGTACCAACCCCCGACGGATTGTCCAAGAATAGTAGACGCGACAAATGAGAATAATCCCCTGGAATTCCGGGTGGTACAATGTGGGGCCCCCCGGTTGTAAGTTGGTGCATTAAACCACCAAACCTAACATAAACATCCAGAATCATAGTTGCCATAGTTAGCCTAGTTATAAACCACCTTATCTATGGTTTGAATTGAATCCCCATCATATATTCATATATATATATATTCACATATAGCAACCGGCAAAAATATGTACCACTCAATCTTAGTCCAGTGAGTCTAGGGGTATGTTACACACTTCTATCTTTTTTGGGTGTTACTACTTACATCTACTTACTATAATGATTGGTTACCCTCTGGTAATTTAACATAGCTATGGAAAGATCCACCATGTTCAATGGGAAAATCCACTATTTCAATGGCCATTTTCAATAGCTATGTTAGTTTACCAGAGGGTAAATCCCTGTACATCCACTTGGTTCCCCAGAAACGTGAGCCCAGGAACCAGCCATGTCTCCTCCAGAGCGCCAGGTGCTCCGGTTTCGCCTGCTTCCTGGAACTGGGTCGAACGTGGGGCCGTTTTTTCCACCAACAACAGGTATCCAAACATGGAAAAAAATCAAGGAAACTTATAGTCTCTTATAATTAAATGGGTTATAATGGGTTTACAAGGTTTACACTGGTTTTTCATCTACGTTCATGGATTTGCTTAAAATTTAGCCAATCAAAATCGGGTGTGGGGTTAGACGCTTGAAAGGCTCATGTTCGTGTCATTTGCAGGGTTCTGACCTGCCTAGATGTGCTGACCGAAAAAACACATTTATGGTCCAACCATGAAAAACCTAACCCTCTGGATCCGTCTGGTAATTTCACTTAGGCTATGAAAAAGCACCCTGTACAATAATCCATGGGTAGATAAACATAAATAAACTACGCGTGGGCCATTTTCCATAGCTATGTTACATATTGTTACATTACCAGATGGCACACTAAGTTGCAAACATGGACATCTTCAACTTTCTTCACTTCGGGCAGTTTGCCGCACCCGTTCCCATGATGGGATCCAGTTGATGCGCTATCTGCTATCGGTCAGAATCCACAAATCAATCTTCGTCGACCGAATGCAACTGAGACGCCCACCAGGAACAAAACTCCTTTGGGATGAAGAAATTGGACAAGGAAATTTGTAATATCATGAAATATCTATCAAACAGATTCAAAAAGCATGAGATGTTCTCCCTGTTCTGGAACTGAAAAAAAGTGGTGAACATGTCGACTCAGTTTCTGGAAGTTTCTGGCACCTGGTGACCTCATCGATGAGAAAAAAGGCATCCACCCCTGGAGGAACGCAGGGCCTTGGACCGTGATCCCAAAATGACTAAAGATGGCTAAAGTTATCCATGCTGTGAAAATACCAGGTTTGGATTGCGAATGCCCCACGGAGAAAGCACAAAAAACAACGAACACCCGACGCATCAAAAACAGCGAATGAAACTCATAATCAAAGGGTACGAAACTTACCCTCTGGTAATTTAACATAGCTATTGAAAATGGCCATTGAAATAGTGGATTTACCCATTGAAAATGGTGATTTTCCATAGCTATGTTAAATTACCAGAGGGTACATAATGCACAAACATCGCACAGAAGAAACTCAAAATCAATGGGATTCCTGCTGGGATTGCTGCCAAGGCACACATTGAAGTCACGCACCTCCTCATAAGCCCCAGTGACCTCAAAAGGGCGCCAAACGCCTGAAAATACCAGTGAAATCCCCACAAGAATTGGGATTCTTCATGATTCTTCCGGAAAATCGCACGTCGTGGATCCACTTTTCATCACTTTTCTTGCGGATCTTTCGGGTGTCCATCGGACAATTTTCTGGGCTGCAAGGCTGGGACTGCAAAAAACGCACCCCTCTTGGAAGACAGAACCTCCAACAAATCTGGTCAGGAAACATAGGTATATACTGCGATGCGTTTCTCCTCGCTGTCCTTGCGGTAGTGGCATTTCGCCGGCCTGGCCCAGCGCCCAAAATTCACAGAGATTTCTGTGGGATAGTCGATAAGGAACATCATCAAAATACTGATGCTTGTACATTGACATGTTATACTTATATCGGGTGATATGAGTGACGGCTTATGGATTTGGTTTTGCCATATACGGAATCACTCAGGCCTGTCATCGCAGCCTTGGACCCGGTGAAGTGTCACTGGTGCAGAAGAATTGGCATGGGCCGCTTCGCCATTCGGCCTGGGCGTTTGATTTCTGGGACGTTTGAGCGGAAACGCTTGTTGGATGTTGTTGGTGTAGTAGCTGTATGCATTTTCTTGTGGTTTTCCGGTCATTGCCTCAAAAGTGCCATTACATATGTGGTTTCCTATATTTGTTTTTTCATGTTCTTCAAACAGCCAATGCTAATGATACCAAACAGGCAAAGCAGAATGAATTATAGACATGTCATATAGACGATGTGGATATATGTCCGTATAACTGCCAATGATATAATAATCTATATTGAACAACACAACGTGATATAGACCATGTCATCGGCAGTAATACACCATGTTGCGAAACTCCACTTCTGAAGGCAAGGCACTCCACCACCACTTGCTGTGCTCGACGAAGGATGTGGGAGGTGGCAGTCACCTTGGCAGCTGAGCGGCCCCAAGGATATGAGTCGTGAATGACTGATGATAAAGACATTAACATATATGTTGATCTAGTGACACACACACACACGCACACACAATCACAAATACCTATATTATAAATATAATGTATGAAGAATAAATACAGTACATATAACATATGTATGCATATGTATGTATATGCATGTATATGCATGTATATGCATGTATATGTATGTATATGCATGTATATGCATGTATATGCATGTATATGTATGTATATGCATGTATATGCATGTATATGTATGTGTATGTATGTGTATGTATGTGTATGTATGTGTATGTATGTGTATGTATGTGTATGTATGTGGATGTATGTGTATGTATGCATATGTATGCGTATGTATGCAAATGTATGGGCATGTATGGGCATGTATGTGTATGTATGTGTATGTATGTGGATGTATGTGGATGTATGTGTATGTATGTGTATGTATGGGCATGTATGGGCATGTATATGTATGTATGCGTATGTATGGGCATGTATGGGCATGTATGGGCATGTATGTGGATGTATGTGGATGTATGTGGATGTATGTGGATGTATGTGGATGTATGTGTATGTATGTGTATGTATGGGCATGTATGGGCATGTATGGGCATGTATGTGTATGTATGTGTATGTATGTGTATGTATGTGTATGTATGTGTATGTATGTGTATGTATGTGTATGTATGTGTATGTATGTGTATGTATGTGTGTATGCGTATGTATGCGTATGTATGTGTATGTATGTGTATGTATCTGTATGTGTATGTATGTGTATGTATGTGTATGTATGTGTATGTATGTGTATGTATGTGTATGTATGTGTATGTATGTGTATGTATGTGTATGTATGTGTATGTATGTGTATGTATGTGTATGTATGTGTATGTATGTGTATGTATATGTATGTATATGTATGTGTATGTATGTGTATGTATGTGTATGTATGTGTATGTATGTACGTATGTATGTATGTATGTACGTATGTACGTATGTACGTATGTACCTATGTACCTATGTACGTATGTACGTATGTACGTATGTACGTATGTACGTATGTACGTATGGACGTATGTACGTATGCACGTATGCACGTATGCACGTATGCACGTATGCACGTATGTATGTATGCACGTATGCACGTATGCATGTATGTATGTATGTATGTATGTACGTACGTACGTACGTATGTATGTATGTATGTATGTCATTCATGTATGTATGTATGTCATTCATGTATGTATGTATGTATGTATGCATGCATGCATGCATGCATGTATGTATGTATGTATGTCATTCATGTATGTATGTATGCATGCATGCATGCATGCATGCATGCATGTATGTATGTATGCATGTAAAGTATTCGAAAGTATTCGAAAGTATTCTAAAGTATTGTAAAGTATTCTACTGCATTGTAAAGTATGTATTAAAATTGTCGGTATAAACTGTGTATATATATATACACAGCATAATTCAGTATGATTATATGGTATGTATACAGCAAGTTTATACGTATTATACAAACGTAACATAGATGTTGTGTGTACCCAAAACTGAACCCCAATTGTTTGAGGACTTCTAAGGCCTCTTAAACTTCTACTTCTAGATGCCCCCCCTTAAATGTCATCAGGGTGGGTTCAGGGCCAGGGATAAACAAGAATGCTTGAACCCACTAGCCAACTGATATCACAGGCAGATTGCACAAAATGCAGGAGTCAATTGGGATTCAAGGATAAAACAGTAAAAACAAAAGCATATTACAGTGTGTATATATATATAGTTATATATATATGCATAATTATACACAAATAATCATGAATAATCAAGAATCAACCGCCATCCAGGGCTGAATGATTCATAGATCCACGCATTTGTGGCCCCAAAACGAGTCCTCCCACACCCAAAACAACCGTCAGGTCAAGCCTCAGCCAACAGCAGCTCCGAAAAAATGAAGCACCACAGCATCGATCGACAAAGGAAACTCAGGGATGCACGTGGCAATGCCAATGGGGCCATAAACCTTCAATTTATATGGATGGTTTACTAAAATCTCTATTAATATAGATCTATAAGAGATCTATAATAGTACAAATGGAGATGATCAGGTCTTTGTGGTTTCAGATTTCTTCCAACTTCTGGGCAGATTTGAAGATATCTGCCCTCCAGCAATCTAGCATATGGACAGTCGGACACTCCAGCATCTGTGGATCTCGGGGTATCCAAGACAAACATCCTTTCCGTCAACATCATTGCAAATTGATACCATATACCCTCTGGTTATGTCAAAATAGCTATGGCAAATGGCCCATAGAAATAGTTACCCATTAAAAATGGTGATTTTCCATAGTTATGTTAGTTTACCAGAGGGTATCTGCGCACGTTCATGGTTTGCTGCCAAAGAACTTCCTTCAGCCTGTCATTTGAAACAGATCCACAGGTCGAATCCGTCAGCTACGCAGGGTGTGATTGGCAAACAAGAGCTGGAGCCAATGGCTAACGGCTATCATCATTGAGCCCAGAGCCATCTCTGAATTGGCAAAGGCGCTGGAGAAATGAGAAAATGGACCTGCTATGACCTGCATGGAAGGCATGCTACCCTGCAACATGTCTCATTACTACAAGGCTTTGGGTACCTGGGATTGGATTCGCAATGCACAAGTCTCTGGGTTTTGATGAGTTGGGACATAAAGGATTGATCGGTGAATTGCCTGCCAATAGACGGACGGAAGGAAGATTGCAGTATTTGGTATATCACGGTTGCAGTTCTACTCTTTGTTGGCAAGTCCCCCCTGTATGGTGATTGCATGGCCAGTCTTTGGTAAAGAAAATAGATTGAATTTTTGCCTGCTTGGACTACCCTCTGGTAATTTAACATAGCTATGGAAAATCACCATTTTTAATGGGAAAACTCACTATAAATGGCCATTTTCAATAGCTACGTTAAATTACCAGAGGGTAAACGAACCATCCAGTTGGTTCCCATATCATGTTGTTGAATAGTCATATCCCAGAATATCCCATGAAATCCCCATAATATGGTGACCAATGTCGCCCCTATATCCCCCTAACACCCCAACATACCCAGATCATATAATTACATATAATTACCATATTACCCACAATAAATCACCTATATATATCACCACCATTTATTGGTGATACAATCCCCTGAAATCCTGCAAAATCGGCAAATACCCTACCAACAAAAAAGTTATCATATTTAGCAATCCCATTATTATATATCATATTATATCCACAGATGATGCACATATCATATATCCCATCAATCATTATATCCGCAGATTGTACACATATATATATAATTATACATATATATATATATAAAATTATATATGTGTGTGCCACATTAATATACATTAATTCATGGGATGGGTTTGTTGTGGGCGCGGGATTTTGAGGATTTGTGGGAAGTTCATGGCAGCAGATTTCACTGATGTTGCATCAAGATATCATATATATGCCAACGATATTGCTGCAAGATCTCATCTATATGATATATATATATATATGCATACCTCAAAAAGTTTCATCCAGCTGGGTCACAAGAAACAAAACATATTGCACATGCACAACGAGAAACTACATAACGCGATCAACGGTTCTATGTCATTTAGCCAGTGAATATCAGAGAGAAAATTCAATTTTGCCCTGTTGCGCCATGCTCAAATGATAGGGTTTTGTGTGCTTCTATGTTGCAGGTTTTTATAGCAAGCATGAACAAGAGGAAACAGCACTTTTGATTGACAGAAGATTTCATTTTGTCCCCAAGCAGTACTGCATCTTCCAGAGCTCCCTACATAAAGAGATATGGAATGTTTTGCCAGGGTAAGCATATTGTTCCTTTGAAAAATGTTGTGTTATTAAACCCTAGTACAGCATCAACTCAGATTCTAAGGGCCACAGCATGCTTCTCATAAGTCATCGTTGAAAATTTGAAAGAATGTGGCATTTCTTGAGGAAGTTGTGGCATGCCTCTATGCAACATTCTTCTATAGAGGGAGCAACATTCCTAGTGAAAGAATCTGGCTGAGTATGGTGTGATTTACAGTAAGTTGTTGTACAAAAGGGAACCCTTTCATATATACAACAATCCCTTTGAAAGAGGGTGATGTGTCTGTAATAAAGCGCAATGCATGGAATTGCCATTTGAAGAAGTATAGTGCTCCTTGCAGGAAATATAGCATTATTTTGAAAGGGTATTCTTCAATAAGCAATTGCTCTTTCAGAGACAACAGTGCAGCATGCCTTTATGCAAGTTTCCTTGAGAAGGATGCAATATATTATATTTGTTCATTCCTTTGAAAAGAGGATGGTATTCCTTGCTCAGAAGAAAACTACACAAACAGAGCCACCACCTCCAGAAAATCGGAAATTAGGCCTTGCTGTTCAGGAAATTAAAAAATTTGGTTTCCACCCCAGCCAACCCAAAAAAACGAAATAATTTTGATTTTTAGTTCAGAGAGGTCCCTCTTAAGCCGTGGATTAATCCAGATTAATCCAAGAACCAAAAAAAACCCAAAAAAAAATAAAAAAAAAACAATGTTTTTGGGACTACTTGGATATAGCCATGATCAGACTAGTCTGGAAAATATTGTGTTTTTTTTTTTGTTTTTTTTGTTTTTTTTGTTTTTTTTGGTTCTTGGATTAATCTGGATTAATCCACGGCAAATTCAACATTTTATGAGGATATGTCTATATAACACTTTTTTTTAATATGAGAAGGCCTGCATGTGAGCTCTAAATCACGCATTTTTGCGCGCCCACAACAAGCCTATGTGTAATTCATGAAAGAAATATTGATCCTTCCCAAAATATTGATCCTTGGTGACTCGCCATCCAGCTGTCCCCACCTTCCGTGGCTTCCAGGAGCTCCCGTTGCAGCCCCATGGCACGACGAAGCACCTCGAGACGACGAAGCCCGTTGACCGACACAAGCGCAAAGCCTAGATTTAAATCTTTAGCGGGTTTTTAGATGTTTTTGCTTTCTATTCACTTTTTTAGATCCTTAGTTGTCCTCTCGGATTCAATTTTTGTTTCTAGTTATTCGTTGTTGGTGTTCAGCACAGATGAAAGTTGCTCCCCAAAACATGGACCACAGCAACTTCTCTCATTGGCCTCACCTTTTTGTACGCTGTACGCGCTCATTTTGCCAGCTCCATTTCTCGCAAGTGTTAAGAAAGTCATGTCAGAATAACGTGTTTCCAGGCTTCTCATCCCAATCAATCCATATTTATGAACTATATAATATCAACTATATATCAACTATATATCAACTATATATCAACTATATAGCCATATATATATATATATATCAACTATATAATCCCACATCTTTGATGCTGTTTTCATGGTGAAATCCCCTTGAAATCCCATGACTTTCCCCGCCTCCTCTTTGGTCAGCTGCCGTTCCTTCAAGCGCTGCTTTTTCGAGGCCAACATGTCGAAGGCGGCCTCCGTGCGACGGCGCTGCTCCTGGGAGGTTTCTGTGGGCTTTTTGACCCTTGTGAAACAAACGGACTTTCTATGGGATTTAATGGGATCTAATGGGATTTACCCTCTGGTAAACTAACGTAGCTATTGAAAATGGCCATAGAAATAGTGGATTTTCCCATTGAAAATGGTGATTTTCCATATAGTTATGTTAAATTACCAGAGGGTAACATTTTTGTTGACAACATATGGTATATTTAATATGGTATTGTTGGAAAAAATCTGGTATTGTTTATGGTATCATTTATTTTCAATATCTATGGTATGGCAATCTATGGTAACATCTTTGTTGACACTGTGACATATTTATACATATTTGACATATCTGCATGGTTCTGATATAATTAGTACTGGTTGGTGGTTGAGCCACCCCTCTGAAAAATATGAAAGTCAATGGGAAGGATGACATCCCATGTATTATGGAAAATTAAAAATTGTCCAAACCACCAATCAGATATGGTAACATGGTTAACATCACAATGGTTCACATAGTTGAAACTGAATGGTTAAGTTGAAGATAGTTGAACTAGCATCGGTGATTTTCCTGAAATCCAGTTGAAATCCAGTTGAACTTTGGAAAAAAAAGGCCACTGTACATATATATATATATGTGTGTGTGTGTGTCCGTCCTTATATATATATACCCTCTGGTAATTTAACATAGCTATTGAAAATCACCATTTTCAATGGGAAAATCCACTATTCATGGCCATTTTCAATAGCTATGTTAGTTCACCAGAGGGTATTATATATATATATACATGATTAATTCATCCATTGGATTGTTGTTCGGGTGAAAATCGAGACCGGAAATCTTGGTTTTCACCATTAAACATGTTGAAGATGTGGACTTCCTCGGTCCATGTTCCCTGCCATATCCCTGCATCCTATTCTTGGAGTTTGGGATTTCACCAGCCTATACTGTGCGGTATGTGGCCGTATGGAGGGGGTGGTACAAGCCACAAACATGGCTAGTGATAGAGCTTCAACATGTTTTAAACAAGATGCGGGGGAGTTCACCAGCAAAGACGGGGATTCAACATGATTCAACATCATAAACAAATGAACATCCATGAACATCCCACCAGAAATATCAGAAAACATGGCATGAAAATGCTTCCGCGGTCCCACAAGGCATTGGCCCAGGCTGCTCGCGTCCCGCCTCAGCTGGCAACGTCAACCTTTTTTGACCATCCAACATCCGCAGCCGTTCTCGGTGAACGCTCCCTTTTCGCAACGGCCATGCGGCTTCACCGTTGTAGGTGAAGCATGGTGAACCCGAGCCAACTGTCTCCAACTGGAGAAAATTCTAAGACCTTGGAACTTTGCAAGCACATGTGGATATTCCGCCAAGCTTTTGTTAAGTTAAGAATCCAAATCCATCCAGACCAGAAGATCTGGAGTAGAAATTGACTATGGAGATTCACCTGCATAGATTTCCTGGCAAAAAATCACGTCCGCACATTTCAGTAGGTTGTCTCCTTGGGCTTTTTGGTGGCGATAGCCACGGCTATAGAGGAACCTTGGACAGTGGTGCCAGTGCTGCAGCTCGGAGCATCCTACCCATAAAAACCTAGTTTTCTTTCTGGAATTCATCTTCATCATCATCATCATCATCATCATCCTCTATGTATATGCATGTGAGTATATTAATCTATCTCTCTCTCTCTCTCTCTCGCCTTCTCAAGTATATTCATCTATGTTTACTGTTGACCTATTTTCTGATTATTCATGTAGGCTGTCCGCATACATATCACGCAAATATAATATCATATAATTATATATAATATTAGAATTAATATTACATAATATCATAATTATTTATATTTATTTATTATAAAAACTTTAAAAAAAACATTATGTCCACCATGATAAACATATCTCTGCATGTTCACACTGCAGACAGTCTTTTCTTCATCTCACTGGGCGTCTGATCGGTTGCTCTTCCTGGCAACCTGTGTCAACCGTGGGTGTCCTTTTCACATCCCCACGCATATGATTCAGGTGGTTTCAAGCCATCACATGCCATCACATGCCATCACATGCCATCACATGCCATCACATGCCATCACATGCCATCACCATATTTGGGCACATTGCAATGTATTTTACAGATTCTTGAACTGTTCTTCAAAGAGTTCTTAAACTGGGCGCAAACATGTTGTTGTTTGGAATCTGCACTTTTTTTGGCCAACCATCAGTTTCGTGCGTCCAGGCGTGAATTGTGGATTTCCCTTCCGTCAGATGGCCGTTCAAAAACCGGGAACAGCCAATGATGAACCAGCGGGGTTGGGGGATCTTGGGGGTATCCAACTGTTGTTGCTGTTTTTTGGAGTTGAGTAAAGCATTCTTTATCTGCTTGGTGGTACACCTACCCCTCTGAAAAATATGAAAGTCAGTTGGGATGATTATTTCCCAATATATGGAAAAATGAAAAATGTTCCAAACCACCAACCAGTATATATATATATTCTTTGAACCACCTACCAGAATGCGTGGGGAAGCGCAGCAAGAAGCAAGTGCCCATTCAACACCCAGCACCCAGAGCATCCTAGATCGACATCTCATTCTGAAATTCTGTATCTTTGGTCAACTTTGTCGACAGACACATCTGCTGGGCGAGGCGTGGCATCACCTCGCCCAGATATGGGTATGGGTCATTTCGCTCTGGTACCCTAGTGACCAGCCCAAATATGAATCAGCTCAATCAGTTCTTTTATCATATCGAGCCAACCCGATATGGATTCCACATTTCACTCATGTACCCTATTGACCCATAGCCATCTGTTCAATAACTCAGCCACCAACCGAGGTCGTTGGTAGCTGAGGCAATTTGTGCCCGCTCCTTCCTGTGCCCCTTGGCACTTGCAGCGGCTTGCGTCCGTTAGAACTCTGAGCGTCCACATTTCGTGCACTTCGAGAACCTCGGCTGTCCGACAAGAGAGGATACCCTCCGGTAATGACTAACATAGCTATTGAAAATGATCATTTACAGTTGATTTACCTATTATAAATGGTGATTTTCTATAGCTATGTTAGTTTACCAGTGGGTAGGAAAAACCTTGGACCATGACATGGACCAAAGGTTTCGCAAGACTGGGCATTCTCCAAACGGTCAGAAGTACATGAATTTTTGTGGCTGGAAAATGGATACTACAGCGGTCCATTTTAGGCACATCCCCAAATATTCCCAAATGGGTGCGGGACATAATGTTGGCATCTTAGAAGAAACATAAAGAGCAAACAGTAGACTTCTGCAAACAACTCTTAGATGTTGCATGCAGATTCACATGCCATGCTAAACCTTCTTAATTTGGTGATCAGAGGATTTTCGCCGTCAAATGCCTAACCATTGCTGGCAAGATACTTGAACATGCACTTGCCCCCATCCTTGCTACAGCCACCCGCACCCCCTGGGTTGGCAAGAGCACCAGCACCTTTCACGAACTTCCCTTCACCCTTCTGGCAATAATTGCACTTGCCATACTTCCTTAGCGAGTCACTCCAAAAAGAGGCCAATGGGATCGGGATCTGAATATCATCCCATTCTACTCTTCCATTTTTATATTTTATGGAAAGTGGTGTGGACATGTATAGAGTACAGGATTATGATATTATAAATTATGTACCATCATTATCCACTTTCATTCAGATAGAATTACCCATCCAAAACGGTGTGGAAATCAAAAAAACTATAAAAAAAACTGTAGCCACTGGCTAGCTTCCAATGGTGCACGCCGTCCGGTGATTTCAAACAGCTGCCACCAGCAGATTCCATGGCGCTGCCAGGAGACGTCTTGTAGGTGCTGGCCTGCTGACATCTGCCACCCTTCACTTGGCTACCGCTATGAAACTCAATTGAGCAAAATGGTTTTCTGAAGTGTCTCCCTCTAGCACTCGAAGTGCCAATAAATAGTGATAAATAGATCTCAAATCAACATCGCCCTAGTCTCTGCAATACGGACGGCCTCCCCAGGTGCTCTATAGGATGACAAATCTTTCTGCAGATTCTCTGGGAGGTCCACTTCACCATGAAGACTCTGTCGACTCTTCACGATGGCATCGCATTTCAAGCAGTGCGCCTTGTCATTCAACCACTGGGGAACCGATTTGTATCCACCTCGGCACCGTTAAAAAAGTCTCCGGACTGCTGGTGGAGGAAGCCTTCAAAAATTAGCGAAACATCTATGAATAAATCACGTTCAATGGGACATACATAAACGAATCACAAAATTGTTGCATATTCTATATCCATAATAAAAATGTGTTATGCATTGAAACACACGTATGACTTTATATACGAAATACACACACACAGAGAGAGATATATATATACTATATATATATACGTATATATGTAAATATGCTGCATTCTACCCCGAGAAGCAAACATGGCATGTCATCTTCACGCGTTCCTCGTCCCCATGAGTCACCACCATGGGAGTCTCCACAGCAGCCCCTGGCAGCTCGGGTTCGTTCTCCTCCTCTAAGATCGTCGCTCCCGCGCCGCAGCCGTAGCCACTGTAACCCTCACCGCCGTAGCCGTTGCTGGGAACCCGGCGCTCGTCCAAGCGGTCCGCCTGCGCTCCGCTGGGTGAGTTTAGCAGGACTAGCTGGGTAACGCCAATGTTTATCAATGTTTGTGTTCACTTCCCCTAGCCACAAACGGCCACAATATCAAGCACCCCCTCCAGGTCATGACACCCTGCGACTGGCAATTGCACCTGGTCCTGACACTTTCAAAGAGCCCCAAGAAGCCTACCCTGAGTCCCACCTTCATTCCCATCTCCCCACGTCCGCACTTGGTGCACTTGGCGAACTTGAACATGCACTTGCCACCCTTGGGGCACCCTGCTGCCCCCCCGGGGTTTGCCATGACACCAGGCCCCTTGGCCAACTTGCCCTCAGGCTTCTGGCAGAAGTTGCCTCATGGACCAGAGCGTAAACCCTGGTCACGCTATGTTACACTAGTCATCACTAGGGGTGCATGAACCACCAAGCTCATGCAAAGGATAGGATGGATGAAAAGGGTTTTTCTTTGACAGTAGTATTGTACCGATGGAGGATGGTACAGTCGATGTATAATTCAATGATATTCAAGGAATATAGCAAAACACCCAAGATCGGGGCATGCCCAAAAATTGGTAGCCCATGATTCCCCAACCCCTCTCCTTTCCCCAGCTCAATTCAAAAAACAACAACCCATTTTTGGACCACACCCCACATTGTAGACATACAAACTCTCAGAACCAAGTGTCACTTGCCGTACTTCCAGTGGTGCACGCCATCGGGTGCCTTGGAACAACTACCGCTGGCCGATTCCATGGCGCTGCTGGGCGCCAATTTGTAGGTGCTCACCTCGCCCGCCAGGCGCCGGCCATCGTCCACGTCCCGGAAGACGAAGTCCCGCTCCACGTCGTGGAGCCCCTCGCGGACGCGCAGCACGTTTTGACACTTCAAACAGTGCGCCTTGTCGTTCAGCCACTGGGGCACACATTTGTAGCCGCACCTCAGGGAAAGTGTGGAGAACTCTGGTTGGATAGAGAGAAGAAGGTTGGAAGAAGCAGGTGTAAATGAGAGCGGAAGGGATTTAATGAAGTTATACCACTGGTGATTGCTTCACACATATTCCATCATAATACCGATATCATCATTGTATAACTACAGATGGCACCACTAAAACTGCAATTGTTCCATCGCCATTTGTTGACCTAAAACATCCTCAAAGCTGATCCCCAAAACAAAAAATCTGCCGCACCTATCGCACTCCATTCTCACCCGATCTTCGGTGGCCATGGCGGATGAGTCAAATTTGGCGCCACGTGGAGATCCGATCTAACTCAGACGTCAAATACTTCGGAGAGAAGCGAGAAAACTCTGCCCGTCAATCACGGGGTTGGCTTAAGGGAAACAATATGGAAAGGAAACACACACACACATGTATAATATTATAATATATATATATATGTGTGTGTATGGAAACAATGCTATGCTAGTCTTCAAGCCAGAATCAATGATTTTCCTGGAAATTGTCGCATCAATAGATCTTGGAATGAGACCAAGAGTTGGCTCCAGATTCCAAGATATTTGCAGAAATCCATAGAAATCCGTGTTTTCCACCAGACGAAGGAGGTCCGTGCTCAGGGGTATGGAGCGACAGTCTGGACTTCACACCTCTCTTCAAAATGGCAATCATTACTGTAGCTAGAGAATCCTTGATTGAAGCACTTAGGATGGGCCGAAAACCCTAAAATTGTTAACCCCCTATTGAAACCACATACATCCATATGCTTACATTTTCCTGATGCGCCGTTTTGGTTCAAAAGGCGGCTTTGTGCCTCTTTTGGAAAAGGCAAAAAAAGAATAGTCGGAAGATAGGTCAAAATTATGTAAGAAAACGGATGGTTGGATTCTATGAAAACTGTTATATATACATAATGATATACATATATATATAATGTATTATTAAGAAACTGTATGTCCAAATTTGATGGTTTAATCATCTTTCCCCAACAAATGCCATCAATTAGGGTATACCCCAGTTTGGACATACACACCGTGCGCTTTTAATGCAAATATATTCATACAACTTTCTACGTACCCTGTGAATCTAGACCTTGGTAAATTTTTGGGGGTTGGGTGGAAACATGTGGAAACCATGGACTTCTTCTTGATCCCTTAAAAAACCCTAGTTTTATCCTTGAAAACTACTGAAATCTCTGTTTTTCCCTATAGTTTTCCGGCCTATCCCCCTAGCTAAGCACCTTGCCACGCCCAAACTAATGAGTTGACCAAGAAACTGATGGAGGCTTTGCTCGAGCAGCCTCAAAGCCGTGTCGAATTGCGTCCTTGGGAACAATTGGGTTCTGCAAGCGGGTTTTATATGGGGATATTATAGTGGGATTATAATGGAATTACAATGGAATTATAATGGGAAACCAACCATAGTGAAGTTTTGGTTCTGACGTGTGGATTTTTTTTCAATGGATTGTTTCGAGGATACAGAAAGTGGATCAATTATATAGATTTTGCAACAAAAAATTGTCAAAATTGACCAAGATTGGATTTTCAATCGTTGGTTTGAGGAACAGTTCAAACTGGAAACGCGCTGGTTTCGCACCCAATGATTTCAGGGTTTCCTGTACGGTTTTCTTTCAACCAATTCTTGGATTTTGCCCTCAGTAATCTCAATATATAGACCATCATTTGGGTATGGGTCAAAAATTAGTGCACCAGTGGACCCACAAAATAAGTCATGTTGTGTATTGAACCATCGATTTTGGGAATATACCATGTTGAACCACAAGTAACGGAGACGTTTGATATCACGAACATAGTCCAAAAGCACCAAATTTACAGTAAAATATAGGGACCCTATATTTAACCACAACAATGCGATCGACTCTTGCAACCCGGCAGCTTTTCAATCGCTCGGCCATAATGCAAGGGCCACTCCCCTTCTGCTCGGCGCTCACGGGTCGGCGCAAAAGGTCGTCCTGCGGGGTTTTGCGGACAACCCGCATGATTTTTGAGCCATACCGCATCCTTGGCATCTCTGCTGCCAAGCATAAGGTGTTTTTCAACATTGTTTTTCCTAAAGACCACTTGGTTTCAAGACAAACCACAGCAACTAGAGTATCAAGAGGCAGCATCCAAAGTGCATGGTCGGTTCTAGGCACTCTACTTTAAAAAGGATCTAATTTGAGATCAACGGCCGCATGTTTTGGTTCAAAAAGGTGAATGTTCCCTTGTCGGAGCCCCCCATGTTCAGACACACCAGACGCCTGCAAACCATGGAGTACCGGATCTATGTGTTCCAAAAAAGTTCTGTGCAATATTGAGGACATATCTTATGGATGTATCTGTGCACACACACACACACATATATATATATATACATATACATATTGTTATATCATATCAATATGTGTTTTTCACATTCTGCTCCATTATATTACGATTTATTTATCGTATCATTCTAAATCTTTTTTTACTGCATATTGAACATTGTAATACATTATTTTATATCATATCATATCATATTATATCATACGATGTTTTGGTGCAGTATATTAACATCTATTATATTATATCACATTTGAAGAAACATAACATATCATGTCATATGTCCATTACAGCATATTGATTTTTTGATTTAGCACGGTATACTCTACTATATTAAATTAAAATCATTCAAATTCTAAATATATAAAAGAAAAAACATGTTGTGGCATATTATTGTTCTAGTATATTACAAGTATGTGATATGATATGACTGCTGTACATTGCTGTACCTTCCGCTCTATTTAAAAAAGAAACAACAATACGAGTTTGGGATAGACTGGGCATGACTGGACAATGGTTGCTTTCCGTGAAATCATGTGAAAGCACAAACCCAAAAACACGTAAAGAATCTTAAAGAGATCAGAATTGTGAAAGCGTGTGGGATGTAAGTCTGAGAAACACCATCATGTATGTATATATGTATATATATATACATGTGCGTGTAATTATGCGCTTATTACTATTACTATGGCTATTATTATATAGTTATATATATATATATTATATATATATATGTGTGTGTGTGATTACATATGTTTATACATACCCATATTGCCATATTATATCATATTATCCTATATTTCTACATCCACTTGTTGGGTCATGCAGTGCTCTCCACTGGTAATCCAAGTGCTCAAACCTGGTCCCCAAATGCCACGTCAAACCAGCTCTCCTTTGGACAGCGTCCGGCTTGCTTCAGGTGGCCCATTGGGGTCCACCTAGGCTTCAGGGACTTGGCAGCTCAACCGAGTTCATGGGGGCGCGTAATTTAACATAGCTACTGAAAAAAATGCACATAGAAATAGTTGATTTACCCATTAAAAATATCAAAAGTGGTGATTTTCCATTGTTTTTATGTTTTTATTTTGTATGTTTACCACCCCTGTGGGAATGGTAACCATACCACCTATAAAAATGGTGCTGACTGGGGGATGGTTTATAATTGTTTTAACCAAATCACCATAAATCACCATAAATAGTTGGTTTTTAACCATTCTATATGGGATTTTTCAGCTTTAACATCGTTTAACCACATCAAATCGTTGATTTCATCGTTCACAACATCCACGGCAGCCCCAACGGTCCAACGGTGGTTGTTCTGTGCTAAGCGGCCACAAAGGCGCGAGAGGAGCCCACACGATTCAACTCCAGCTGCAGCGGCACCTGGCTGCGGCCAGGGATGGAGAGCACCAGCGCAGAAAGTGAAAGTGGGATAATCATGGGGAAATCATGGGGAAAACATGGGAAAATGCTATTTTCATAGAATTGGATGATGGGAAAATTTACAGGAAACCCATATATTTGATGGGAAAATCTTTGGTTTCCTGTAATTTTTCCCTTAAACCAATCCATTGATATTTTGCTACCATCTGGTTATTTAACATAGCCATGGAAAATCACCGTTTATAATAGGTAAACCATCTATAAATGGGCCATGTTCCATGGCTATGTTAGTTTACCAGAGGGTATTTTGAAAATGGGATTTCTGAATGATATGAATGGGATTGAATGGGAACATGCTATTACTGGGATATTCAATGATATTCTTGATTCACGTTATTCTATAGTTGGATATGTAATGGGATATACTAACCAGCTAGATTGGGAAACATGGCTGGGATAAATCCCCGATTGGTGGTTTGTACGGGGGAATTCATCGAACTAAAACGGTAGAATTTCCAGCTAGCTATGTTGAATTACCCGAAGGATCCCGAAGGTAAGTATGATACTAAGAATGACCCAGAATGACCCATATGCAGCATTTATCCCACGTATAATTGGGTGACACAATTCTTCTTAACTTGACTCCGACTCCCCAAAATGCAAATCCAAGGTGATTATGTCTATGAGATGTATAATATGAGATGTCATGCTGACATTATGATGACTAGTTGCAAATGACAATTTTTCAACATTTTGGGACCAGAAACTCAAGACCCTCGATCTGGATCCTAGCGCTGGAATGGGATGATGGTCGGGAAAATGTGGCATCTGCTGGCACATGATCTGCAATGATCTATGCTTTTTGGCATTTTTTGGGGCTAGTTCAGTTATATGCGAGAATTCGATTGCCACGAGTCTAATTATCAACGACTGCTGAACTCTCTTAATGGCGGCCCTGCGGACCAATAGATCAGCGCCCGAGAACTTTTCCACATCTTTACGGCAGAAAAGATGGCAAGCTGAGTCCTCCTTTTTGACACGAGAGGGCATGGTGAAGTAGAAGCTACAGCACATTGAAGCTGCTCACCCGCGACCAAACTTCGCTTCTGCATTTGCAGTGTCGAAGCTGAAACGCTGGGCGTTTCAAGGGGCACACTGTTGCAGGTCACCATGCTTTGAGGTTTTGCGACCAACTATTAGTGTATTATAGTTTGTTGATGGTTGATACCTTTGGGGAATACAACCATTTTCTTTTCGGATTTTTCAACTGCGATGTTTGTTGAGCTCGGATCAGGCTGGATACCCAGAAATCATCACAACTCACTTTCCGAAGCGACGGGACAGGCTTCCCATGGGATCTTTTAACATCTTCGAACGGTGGTGGTTGCTTATGTTGCTTCAGCCCATCCCAAAAACGATGAAAGTTTGTATCGCCACCTAAAATGACCTGCCACTCTAAGACTCTAAGACTCACACGCTGGCGCCCACCCTCTGTGCATCTGCATCAACCCCTACGGGGTTGACGTCCTGACTGCGGGGTCCCGTTTTTAGAAGTTTGAGGGTCCTTGGAAATGCCACCAACAGCTGAGATGTGCTTGAAATTGTTGAAGGGCTTCAGCTATATCATGATACTGTAAGAACACCTCTGCAACTTATTTGCAACCAAACAGGCCGAAAATGGCCGAAAATTGTCTTACAGTCTTACAGTGGCTTAAGGGCCTAATTGGTAGTGTCTTTATTGAAACATCATGGGGAAGGTCCTACCAAGCCGACTTGCTTTGTTGGCAGGCCACAACCTTTTAATTTTACGTTACGCGCCTTCCCTGTGGGGGGATCATGTCAACCAATGCCTGAGAAGAAAATGCCAAAAAAATCAGGTGGCAATTTTACTTTCACGGACATTGCATAGGAGTGGGATTTTTGTTGGGTTTGTTTTGGGTTTCCAGCCCAAATCTGGGCGTGGCAAGAGCATGGCATGGGACTCAATGTGAGATTTCCTGCCCGCCCCCAATAACCTCAAGTTCAGAGGTGGGGCTCTGCATGGGCATGGCATGGGCATGGCATGGGCATGGCATGGGCAGGCAGTTGGCATAGCATGGGAAGTGGCATGGGAGCATCAGCCCAAATCTGGGCATTGCATGGGAGTTATCCACGCGCATGTTGTTGTTGTTTCGAGGTAATGGCTGCAACTCCTTTGGGATTTTCTAGGGTTACGATGGTTTTTTTGGTGGTGTTGTGGGGTCTCAGGTGTAGACTGGGAATCTCATGGGCTTCCCATGAAATTCTCATAGGGCCTTCAAGAGTTCAAGAGAAACCTTAAAAAACCACTAGGTGCCCAAGCACTTCCATCAAATTGGCATGCCACATGCCACTTGTCGGTGGCCAAATCTCCAACATGATGATGTTCTAGTTCCAGCTCGAGTACGAAGAGACCAGGCTATTAGCGAGAAGCAAATGGCTTACTTGAACAAGTCGCCGCTATTGTCAATAAACAATAAACCTCTCCGGTATGAGAAACAGCTAGAATCAGAATTACTCTGTTTGTTGGAATCAATCCCTACTGCTTGAAAAAACAAACATATACGAACTGATACCCTCCGGTAATTTCACATAGCTGACATAGCTATTGAAAATATCGAGCTTCATTGACGATGTCATAAAACAAGTCATTGGACATATCTAGCTCATCGGCGAATATATAGTAGCTATGTTGGAAGACGTGCTCACTGGGATGGCCTGGGATGGCCGGCTTGGAAAAACGCCCTGGGATGACCTTCTTTCCAGTCAGTCTGAGTTTTTTTGCCTCAAAAAGAAAACTGATGCTGATATTATCACCATAGATCACCATTTTTTCAGAACCATCACCAACCAAACTCAAATAATACATAATAATACACTACTCTGCAAGGTGGCGACCCTGGGGTCCTTCGCGCAGCCCTTCTTGATGGCCGTGACAGCCAAGCCTGCGGCATCACACAGGAGGTGAGGCCTGAATTCACCTTGAAGGAATCTGTGAGTTGGCCTTGAACGTTGAATCTGAAAAAGATGAAGCACCAAAAACATCTGCAAATTGAGACAACGGCAAGACCAGTTTCACATCCTGCCACATCGCGTCACTTGGCTGAGGAAAACCCATGGAAAACCTATGATCGCATCCTATGATCGCATGGCTGCTGAATTGGAACCGCAGCCTGGAGCACTAAAAGATGCCAAGATCAGCAACACAACTGCTAAGGTCCTGCAATCTGTCGCAAGGCTGAATCAAGAACCATCAACCAAACGGACCTCTTGAAGCGCGGCCCAGGATGCACAAAGCGAATCAAGCAAGTCCAAAGTTTTGAAAGTCCCAAAAAATACGTTTTTTTCTGCTACATACTTATTTTTATTTTTACATATAATATCATATAATAATTATATTAATATTATATTTATGTGATGCGCACACAAACACACATGTATATTATGCCACATCTTCCATCTGGATTAGGTTCCCCCAAAAAAACAGGCTGTCCCTTTTCATCGTTGGTTTCCCAATAAACATCTGATGAATGCAGAATAATTACATATAATTTTGGGGTTCCCCATTTGAAGAAACCTCCATCTCAGCAACTCTCGCGCGTTCCTGGGATTAATGCGCCCATCGCCCACGCAGTTCTCTTCGGTGGTATTGGAGTACCTTAGGACCACCCAACCGAGCCCGTGCAGCCTACAGAATTGGGTCAGAATTTATGAAAGATTTGGAACATGTGACAAATATACACAAATATATCACCCAAATTCCCAAATTCACCAAAACAGAGTGCGTCTCTGCACCCGCTTCACCATGCCCCACCTCAAAGGAACCAAGAAACTCAATCCAGCCCCAAATTACAAGGCCGATAGTGATAAAGGAGGTCATAAACTGTAGTCGAAGACCCAGTTTAAACACTGAGCTTGAACCTGGCTGGGTGCAAAACATCAGGACCCTGGAAAGTTGCAGCTTTCGGCCATGCGCTCCTTTGGGAGCATTTTTTCGGAGATGTTACAATAGTTTAACTATGCCAAACGGACGAAAATTTGAGGTCATTGATTTGGACCACAGTTGTCAAACCCTCGCGCCTGAGCATGCCAAGACAGCCACTAGGAACTGCATCAGAATGCCCACGCCCATCGGTATCAAGGTATAGGTCTTCAACCACCATGTGAAGGTATCCTTGGCTGGGTCAGGTCTAGGGGAGCATGTTGAACCCAAACTTTGCTAATTAGTTACTCTCTGGTGATTTTAAAATATTTTAAATATATGATATTGTTACGGAATAAAATCACCATGTTTCATAGGTTAATCAGGTTAATCATCTACAAATGGGTCATGTTCCATAGCTACATTAAAATATCTGATGGCAAATAGGATTTGAAATGGCTTTCATTTCATGTGTTGTTTTCATTCAACCCCCCAATGAGCCCAGCGACATAGCGCTCACACTTCTCCAGGACGTTGTCCGCTGCGAAGAAGAAAATCATAGGGAGCCAGAAGCAACAGCAGCCGTTCACCAGAATCACCTTAAGGCAGTGCATGGCCCCTGGGACGTCCAGGGTCATGGAAGGCCATAGAAAAAATGGACCTCAAAACGGAGCACGCTGTGAAAACCCAAAACCAAGGAATTTCATTAAATTTCTATGGGTTTTCTATGGCTTTTGAAGGGGGGATGCTGATTCTTAGAGGTCACCGGTTCACTACATGGCAACAGCCGGGCCGCTGTTTAGAGGATGATCTTCTGGGGGCCCCACCTAACCCAACAAATCATGCCCGTCTAATCACATGTTAAATCGACATTTCAAACGGCGCCACGAAATCCCAGGAACACCAGCAATTCTTGGACTGAGCCAAGCCCAAGGTCCAGCTACAGGGCTGGAAACACATAGCTGCCACACCCTGGACTTCCCAGCCATTCTACCAAAGGATACAATTTGCTTATTGCTTATGGATGCTTATGGCACTGACACCGGTTTCGCCAAGTAGCCGCCAGCAAAACAATCGGCGCTCGTTGCGAGTAGTCCTCCAATGAAACATTTCAAACTGTGCATCTTCTGCATAACAACAAGCGGCCTCAGTTCGATTGTGAAGATCTATTCCTGCCCTTCAACAGTTTCACTCAAGACCCCATCAGATTCAACCTCAAACCAACATCCTTTCAGCATCAACATTCCATCAAATTCAACTGCTGGATGATCTCAAAATCCTATTCAAATGTCAAAATCAACAAATAGTTGAACCTGGCTGGCGGTGTCAAATTGAGGGGATACCGCATAGTGATAGTCGATAATCCTCTTCATTCATGATTCCAAACCACCAAGCCAGCAGCTAATCATGGATATCATGAAAATCAATGAAAATCACATCTTGAAGTTGAATAAGATAATAAGATAGGAATAAGATGGAATAAGATCACTCAGTGTTTCAGTGGTGCATCGCTCCTTCATCATCTTCGTCGTTGGCACACGTCGTAGCTTCGGGACTGGCTCCTCCATGGCACCGCGCGGCACCGCCACGTCCCATCCGTCGGCACCCAGCTGTCGAGCTGCTGAGCTGCGGATCCCCAGCAACTTGTGATGCTGGCAGTGACCCTGGCACCCTCCATGGTCCATGATTGGTGGATGGTAAAGGTAAAGGATGGTACAGGTAAAGCCAATCCCCTTTCTCCATCTCCTTCACATATCTTCACATCATGAAAAGCGTTGCTCAAAGTGCAGTGGAGATGTCTTCAAGGACTTCCGAATCATCTTCGCAAGACTCAGCCGCTGAAACCACCTTTGGACATCTTAAAAACCATGTTTCAACCCACATCAATGAGCCCAGCCCTAGCAAGAGTTGAACCCGGAAGGTCTGACCTCCACCCATCTCCCATCCTTTGGGATCCGCACCTGCAATAGGGAGGCTGCTGAGGCCAACAAGTGACTCAAATATCCCAAGGCTGTACTCGCCTCTCGTTCCTGCGGGTTTTTTATTGGCTTGATGGGATAGGAATGGGGATAGGAATGGTCTAAGAGTCTAAGTCTTCGGTGATGTTCATTGTTTTCTAGGTGGTGGTTTCAACCCCTCTGAAAAATATGAAAGTCAGATTGGATCATCATCCCAGCTATTGGGGAAAATCAAAGCCATGTTCCATCATCCACCAACCAGATATATTGTTATTCCAATTATTAACCATTATTAACCATAGATTAACCATAGATTAACCATCAACCACCAACCAGTTTTTCCCTCTTTCACAATCAGCACTTCTCCTCTCTTGGATCTTGGTGCCGAAGGCTCGCCAGGCCACGAAGGCAAATGCCACGAATCGTCCAGTAGGAATTGCCTCGAATAAGGCGAGGAAGTTGGCTCCCCTTGGGACCTAAATGCTATGCTTTTGACCAAGTAGCAAAAATATGTGCTCCACAATTCTGTTTGGTGAGTACACTGCAAGAAGGCGAGCACTGGGGCTATCATCATCATCATCATCATCATCATCATCATCATCATCACTTCGCCTCACGCCCTCAGCGCCCATGCAATTTCAAGCTTCACTACCAAGTGCTGCCAAGCCAAGTGGCACTGCTGCACCGGGTAAACTTGTCGAACTTCGTACAGCTTTCGGATTTGTTGGCACCGCAAACGCTGCCAGCTCTTCTGCAAAGAGCGAGTTGCCTTCAGTCGATAAGAGAAATAGTGAAAACTGCGACCCATCGTCATCGCCTCATTTCAAGATGTATTTGGAAATTTGAGCCAGAAAAAGTTCATCGACCAGGTATCGTTCCATGATCTGATACATTATCTTCAACATTTAATGTGTTCTCCTCAAAAATGCAGTCTCTCTTGCATAATCATACAGAAAAACTAGAAGTGGCACAGCTCCGCCAAAACATCATGAAACATCGAGTGGCAGTTTTTGAGCATCCGTAAGTTGGCACCCAAAACCAGGAATCACCAAGGTCCAGCCTCCAAAAGTTCTGCTTTTGTGGCCTCCTGTTGCCCTTGGAGCTCTTGAAGCATCTCCTGGGGCCAGGCCTGTTTTTTCGTGGTGATTTTGGGTTGGTTCATGTTGGTTCACTAGATTGGAAAGGAACATTTACAGGAAACCATAGGAAACCCCTATATTTCATGGGGAAATATGGGGAAAACCCATGTTGAATGTTAATGAAACCAGCCCCTGTTCCCGCAGCCCGTGTTGGCCATTTAAGATAAGGCACCTGTGCTCGCAGAAGCTGCTCCGGGTCCAGAAGCTTCTGTCGATCACGGAGCGAAGCGCAGGCCTCGCGTGTGCCGCCGCAGCTCATTGGGCTCATGGGATATGATTCAAACCCTTCTATTCGAGGTTTGACTTGATTTTTTGCTACAATATGTTACTATATATTTTGCAAAGTAGATGTAAAGAATAATCTTTCAAAATCCACTGCACCTACAACCCAACAAATCAAAACAATCACATATATATATATATATGCATACTGTAATTCTATACACATAGCTCCGGAATTTGCATGAATTTGCGGGGGTTGACGGCTAAGAGCAGCCCGTGCCTGTAGCGCATGCAGCTCCAACCTCAGTGTTTCAAGCAACAAATAGGCTTAAGGGCCCAGTTCAGAGTGCCATGCTATGATCACTCTGGGTCTGGGCAACCATCATCCCAGGCATAGATGGCCAAGCGATGAAAATTTCCCAACAACCAGGCAGACTGTCGGCTCTACATGCTGACCGTCCCACTTTAGGAACCTTTCATGTACACAACGGAACGTAAAAAGTGACCTCTTAAATGTTCATCCTTCAAAATGGCCGCATCTTTGACACATCTTAGTACCAGGTTTGACTTTTGGGATCAATGATCTACACCTAAAAACATGCTATACTGCTTTGGACCCTGAAGTTGGTCCTGAATGTCCTGAATATTTCTGGATGTCCCAAGATGTCCCAAGTTTTGGGCCAAACTTCGTTCTCCGGCCTTCCCGAAGTGGCAGCCGGAAAGTCTTTGAGGCGCTGGAGGCCTGGGTGAGTCATTGTCATCAAGCTTGATATTCATGCCACAAAAAAAACGCCCCGAATTTGTGGCTTATGATTCCATATGATTCCATTGCAATACCCTCTGGTAAACATACAAAAAGCTATTGAAAATGACCATTTATAGTCAGTTTTCCCATTAAAAATTGTGATTTTCCGTAGTTATGTAAATGTTTACCAGAGGGTATATTGCATAATTCATCCCTAGTTCGGATAGAAAATAACAAATAGCCGCGGAAGTCTTAAAGACAATCCCCAGCCTCTTTTCCAAGAACTTGTTCTTGCCATCATCCCCACTTGGACTTGAATAGTTAAACTAAATGGTGGTGGTTTATAGTAGCCCAAAAAGAAATTATAACAGTGATTTATCACTATTTACCCTCCGGTAATCAAGCATGGCAATGGAAAATCTCCCATTGGTACTTGATCTTCCCATCAAATTCTCATAAATTCTCCTCAAGTAACCCCCAAAATCATCAATTGGTGATGGGTTATATAGCCGCCCCAACCCAAAACGAAAAATATCACCACGTATCACAATTTTCAATGGGAATAATCATTTGTTTCTATCTTTCTTGGTGGTTGATATAGCTTTGTAGATCCCATCATCCAGGCACCTATATAAAAGGCAACCGCACCTTCCCGTCTTTGCCGCAGGTCCCCTTGCAGCTTCTGCAGCCGTCGTGCCAGCGCACCACGGCGCTCGTGCCGGGCATCGACTGATGGTGTTGCAAGGGGCTTGACATATGGGGCTTTCCATAAATGGGGGTCCCTAAAATGGATGGTTTATAATGGAAAACCCAACAAAATGGGTGATTTGGGGGATGGATTTCCCCATTTCAGGTATAGACTTTGCTGATGGTTTTATGGTGTGTTAAAGGATGTTTAGATTTTTTTTGACAATTTTTTGATTCCTAGGGGATTGTAGGATTCTATCGGGTGTAGCCGCCTGAAAAACTAAGATAGAACCTCCAAAATCAGCTCTGCAAGATGATTCTGAAATTGGACATTGGCATTGACATTGTGCCATGATGTGCCATGTCAGTTCTCATGGGTGTGAAATGTTCAGCTTTGAACAGTTTGGCGAAAGTATGTAAAAGTCGTTTCCAAACAAGCGGCTGTAAACTGGCAAACCTGACAGTTGGTGTTTTCGTTTCGCAAATCTCTGTGATGTTTGCCGCTTCCGCATGCCATGATCCAAGGGAAGGAGCGCCCAACCTGCAGCTTTCTGGGCCAACTTAAGGCGCAAGTCGTGCTGTAGATCCTGTGATTGATCCTGCCAGAAGTGCAGCTGCTCACCTGCAGTCTCCCACTCAGATCGACACCAAAGGGAGCAAACTGATCTCAAGAATCAGATGCTTCGGTTGTTCTCCGCCCCCTGTAAAATATATATGGCAATTGGATGGCAATTGGTAATTGCGATCATGATCTCAGGATATCTCAGGTAAGGAAGAAAATCAAGAGGAAAAACAGCTACTAGTCCAGACAGGATCTCAGGCCTGGCGAAAGTGTGGGACAATGGACAGCTCACAAAAATTATCGCACATGGAGGGTTCCCAAAATAGGGGTACCCCTAATCATCTATTTAAAGAGGAGTTGCCATGACAAACCATTCATTTTGGGGCACCTCCATTTCAGGAAAGCCCCGACTGAAAGACTCGGAACTGTCAGAGTTCAGTTGGTAGATCCATAGATCCTCGAAGTCAAAACAGTACCCACTGGATGGTTTCATCCCATCTTTTGGACACCAAGACTATGACTCCAATGCGGTAAAAAAATACAACGCCTAAACATGTTGACAAGGTATGTTTTGTTTTGCTTAATCCCCAATATTTCATATATTTCATCAATGAGGTGAATATGTGAATATAGGTGAATGATAAACTATCCCAATTGGGTGTCATTCTTGTCTGTCCCAATTGGGTGGGATGCTTTATTACGTTCATTAGAATCGGTTTACTCTCCAGTAATCAAACATGGCAATGTACAAATCACCATTTAGTTCGATCATTTTCCCATTGTACTTCCATTGATAGTTGATTTTCCATTGCTATATTTGATTACCGGAGGGTATACACATCATATACCCAAAAATCCAAATAGATCCAATCCCACTAAATCACCTTTTCACACAGTCGTTGCTTGGTGTGCCCCCCAGCACCCCAAAAACTGACGTCCAAAAACATTGCCAGGCCACACAGCTTCGCGATTCGCTCCCCAGCGTTGCAGAGCTGCGAAGTCAACAGCCGTGCTGGAACTTTCCTGCGGTCGGGGCGAGCCTGGGATCGAGCCTGCAGTTGGCCTGGGGCTAAGGGGCTAAGGGGCTAAGGGGCTAAGGGGCTAAGGGGCTAAGGGGCTAAGGGGCATATGAATGTCTATGTTTTATGAATATGTATGATATATATATATATATATATATATTAATGTGATCATCTACCAATAAAGCTTGTTGAATGGGGGCAAGCCAAGATTCATATTGATCATGAATCAACCAGTGGGAAAATTGGGAATTTCGCGACCCTGCCATCAGTTGGGGGCGTGAAAACATGTGAAAACTCCTGTCCGCCAAAGGTCAGTGATTCTCAGGGGTTTTATTTAGTTCTGAATGGCAAGAGATCCTAAAATCATTCAAAATCCAACTTATCCAACTTTGGAGCTCACTGACTTTGAGCGCCACATGGCAGCCACAAGCTAGGCAGCTCTGGAGCTTTCAATAACAGCCTTGGAGCTCTGGCTGTCCCATTATGGACCACAAATTGACCACCCCTGAAACTCAAACATGAAACTTTGATAACCATCCATTGATAACGTATATTACCCTCTGGTAATTTAACATAGCTATTGAAAATGGCTATTTATAGTGGATTTTCCCATTAAAAATTGTGTTTTTCCATAGCTATGTTAGTTTACCAGAGGGTAACAGTTCCCCATGGCGAAAGAAAGACACCTTTTGGAGGCTTCCAGGCCGCCAGGTCGGCCTTCCACGTCCGCCTGGGCCGTCGCTGTTTCCCGCATCCTCAGCAGCAATGCCCTTGTTCCACCGCGGCTTCAGCATCGGTCACCCAACGCGCCGTTGGGCGCGGTCACCAGAAAGGAGTACCATGGGGAGACGGCAGAGTCTGTGGTGGCTAAACCCAGCAGAGTGATATAAAAGGGCAGTGATGGAGTTGGTGAGGTTGTTGAGGTATGTTGTGTTGTTGCGTTTTGTTGCGGTTGTTGTTGTTGGGGTTGTTAGGGGACTGTGGGATGTCTTGGGCTGCCATCAGAAAAAAACACCCCTTTGGGCCTTGTATCGGGCGAAATGCTGAATGAGGCTGCTACTCGGCAGGGCTTCACGTACTTCCATTTGAGCAAAGTGTCTTGTTTCAGGACAGCGTTCCAGAAAACCACAGGGCTTCGACGCTCTCACCCCATCTGGGCAAACCAAAATCATTCCCAGATCCCCCAAATAATGCTATTCAGGCCACTTAAAAGCTGGACCCACCACCAACCCAGGATTTGAAAATACCAACGCTGGATCCCAAAGAGCCCAATTGGGATGGTATGACCACCTGGTTATAGGATTAAATAGGAATATTAATCGTAACTAAGCCATGATTCTATTAGACTATAGGAACACTCACATGGGATCTTTCTTAATATAGAGCATTTAATATTAACCATCATATAAACCACAAAAATGTATGTTAACCGTTCATTTGCATTAAATTATGGGAATCTTAACCATTAAAACTAACCATTATTTAACCATTAATTATAGTCATAAAATTGACCATGATTTTATGGGATATGACCCCGCACCAAAAAACCGGCGGCTTCTCGGGGAGAGAGCGAGCACCAAGCACCAAAAAAGCGAGGTCTGAGGCCCAAGCTGGCTGCCTGGAGCAGGGTCTACCGATATTAAAATGCATGAGATATGATATGATATATCGTGTATATATATATATTATACAGATATATATATATATATATATATATACCAATAAATATATATATATATACAGACTAATATCTATATATATAATATATAATATAATATATATATATATATGTGTGTGTGTGTTACCGTATATTTGTTCTACAATGATAGTTAAATATGGACTAATATAGACATAAAATGGCATCAATGTATCGTGTGTACTGTATGTATATAATGCGGTCTCGTATGCACCTATCATCTACCATCACCTATCCATTTCCAATCCTTTCCCAGGGCCTCCAAGTCACAAACCATGAACAGGATATAGTTACAGTATGTTACAGTATGTTACAGTGGACGGCGCCTTACTTGCGCACACAAAATTGCCTCAGTTGTACAGTTGTACACACATATTTCTGACTCACTTGTACACAAAATTGACTCACTTGTACACACAAGCTTGGGGGGTGGGGTAGGGCTAGGGAAGAAAAGGGTAGGATCTACCAGCCACAACCTTTCTTCAACTTGATTATAGGGACACAACCGCTACTCGACTTACCATCACACTTCAACCTTGGGGGGTGGGGTTGGCCTAGGGAAGACAAGGGTAGGATCTACCAGCCACAACCTTTAACTTCATTATAGGGACACAACCGCTACTCGACTTCCTTCGACTTACCATCACACTTCAGCCTTGGGGGGTGGGGTTGGGCTAGGGAAGACAAGGGTAGGATCTACCAGCCACAACCTTTCTTCAACTTCATGATAGGGACACAACCGCTACTCGACTTCCTTCGACCTGCCATCGCACTTCAACCTTGCTGGGTGGGGTGGGGCCAGGAAAGAAAAGGGTAGCATCCACCAGCCACAACCTTTCTTCATCTTCATTATAGGGGCACAACCGCTACTCGACTTCCTTCGCCTCACCATCACCATCACCATCACCATCATCATCATCCTCATCCCCATCCGCGTGCATAACTGAGTAGCTTTTCGCGTGCACAACTGAGTCGGCACCATCCTGTTACAGTACCCGTCAGTACCCTGGCCGCTGTCCTCCTGTCAACGAACAAAACTCAGTGGAAAATCCATGGTTTCCGCTTGGATAATAACTGGTTGGTGGTTTGAACCCCTCTGAAAAATATTAGTCAGTTGGGATGATTATTCCCAATATATGAAAAAATAAAAATGTTCCAAACCACCAACCAGATAATCTATAAATGGTGGTTTCATCCACCATCTCCATGAAAAACTACTGAAGGGTACAAAAAAAAGCGCAAAGTTGCCCGCATTCCAAGAGGAGGCTGTTGGTTCCGCACCGTTGCAGAACATGCATCTGCAGCAAAGGAGAAATGACATGTTGCAAAAAGGGGATATCCTTCGAACATGTTTGAAACATCTTGAGACATGTTTTTTACCGGGACAACAGATATTGATGTTACTGTCATATTTTTCTAATGATTCTAATGTGTTTTGGAGATGAAAACTGAAGCCCTCAGCACCACCAAAGCCCTACAGCCCGTCAGGACGCACGCCTTGGGCTGAGCGACTGGCTTGCCTTGCGACCTCGTCACGGGCTCGGGTGGGCCTTCCTGGAGTGATGAAAGAGAAAGTTCACAGGAAACCATGGATTGCAATGTCAACAAAGCAATAAACCAGCATGTTTATGGGTTGTATCATGTTGTATCAACATTATCTACCATGAAAATATGGGTGATTTATGATTGCTTTGCTAACACTACATGATTTTGGACTGTCCTGCCGATTTTACCAACATCTTCAACCAAATCTGGAAGTACCGCAGGCGATACGGCAGTGACCAGTAGCCACAGCGACAGCGATGAAGGCGATTTAGGGTATCTCAGAAATACATCTCAACACAGTAACACAATGAAACCATATGAAACCTTCATTCTGGTTTGTTTACAAATAAGGAACTCTTCCGAGTATAGTGATGCTCAACAACTCAAACACTAGATTCGAAATACTTCGACGTTATTACTATTTGATTTAGGATGATTTAGGGATTTTAGATGCTTTTAGGGTACCCAATTTACTCAAACAAATGCGCTTGGAATTCTTGGGCCAACAGCAAGCAATGACCATCGACCCTTCCATCACCGCTTATTTGCCTTGTCTCGGAGACCGCTGCCTTCGCTGCCTTCACAGGGCCTAAAGGGCGAGGAGGCAATCCATCCATGGACATGTAATTACAAGTAGCAGCATATGCGCACACACACACTGAAAAATATGTACAATATATAATAGATAATAATACATTATAATAGAATTATATATATATACATTAATACTGTATATGACAATAATGCATGTGCATGTTCAAGTAGCAAGCACATTTGAAAAAATGAAATATGACCGGCAGGGAGTGGGATATCAACTAACAAACAAGAACCGCAGTGTCAAAATGCACTTGGTTTCTGGTTTCACCACGGTTGAAGCCACCAAACCAATGAAGTTCAACTTAACTTTGGCATGATTTGCTTGGTGTCAGGTCAGGTGTCGTTTATGAATATCTAATAATTTAATAAGAATGATTAAGAGAGGATCCAAGTTCATCAAAATCGCGACGACTACCACTGTTTTGTGGGGCATCCCCTTCAATGAAACAGAACTTGGGTCTGGGTCAGAATGATTGCCCCAAAAGAGGGTTTCCGTCAAGTTGATGTGGTCATCCGCCAGCCTTAAACCGCAATTTGGCCTCTGATCAGTTTCTGGGTAAGTAGGCAAAAACTATGTCACATCGTTGTACAAGCCTAAAACAGCCTATGTAAATCCATTAGTCAACTCTGAAATTCCGTCTTGAAGTGACCAGAGATTGGGACAAACCTCATCAAACCTCCATTTTCAGACCACCCACTCACCACGTTAAAGGCCCCCTAGATGATTCTGTCAAGCCATGTCAAGCCTACGACCAATTTTTTAATGAGGATTTGGGGGCCTCAGTCTGCGAACGTTAGCTGAGTTTTTATGGTGATTCTAATTTGTAAACCTAGCTAAGTATCATAATTGATTGTGATATCATGTGATATCTAATGATAATGACTACTATAACAATAACAATAACTAATCATCATGGTTTTAGTGGTGATTCAAACTAACTATAGTTTGATGTTTTTTTTAACCAACCGGCATAATTAGGCGGCATCACCTTGTAAGAATGGGTTATGGAGGTTCAAACCACCCCCCAAACGTGATCCCCGCATTGCAATAACAAGTGCTTAACAAACTCTTAGTGGTGGTTGTTGGTGATGGATACACCGAATAAACCCATATTTTTGGCGGGGTTTACCTTCATGATGCCATTATATCGCATTAAATCCCAATAAATGGCTATACACACCTATAATATACATATATGGTTGTTGGCGTTGCCGTTGCCCTCTGGCACTCATGTTTCAAGAGGTTTTCCCAGCTAACCATGTTTGATTCCCGGAGGGTTTTCACATCATATATCCGAATCAAACCCAATAATTCATCATTAAATCATCATTAAATCCTATTCAATCGCATGAAATCCCATGTTATCCTCTGGTAATTTAACATAGCTATTGAAAATAACCCCTGCTTTTCGCTCATTTACCTATTAAAGATTGTGATTTTCCATAGCTATGTTGGTTTACCAGAGGGTAAGTCACCATTTTGAAATAGAACAAAAATCATCCTCCATGGGGCCATGATTCATCCACATGCCAGGCCGCCGCACCCCACGAGGCCGGCCGCGGCATGGCTTTGGCCGACTGCGTTCGGCGCAAGGCGCTTGCAGCGCCGCGGGCGTCGCAGAGGCTGGGAGCTGAGGCCTTGGATGCGGCCACCAGGTAGCAAGTGATCTTAACTCATCCCTGATATGAGATATAACATATATATATATAACTGTAATTATATATATATGTGAACACATATTGATGCATGCGTGTGCATATACATATACATGTTTATTTACTTGTTGATTGATTTATAATTATATACATATATATATTATATGAGTTGTTGTAAATGATACAGTAACGTAAATATCATTGACAGTCGGTGGATCATTTCTCCCCTTTTTCACTGAGACTATAAGAAATGAATCATCTGTTAGGGCCTAGGGGGATGCAACTTGCCTACTGTAGTTATGGGATCTCTGTCTGGAGCATCTTGTGGAAAACGTGTGGTGCCACCAAACAAAACACGTCAGAAACATTGCTGAAACAAATCGATTGC